CAAACAAGTATTGTAGGTCTGTTCGGCGCGGGTACTTCTCCGGCGTCTTCTGCGAGCCTCTCACGTCACTTGTTGGGCTTGGGAAGAGTAGGGGAGAAAACGGGGGTAGGATGGCCCATGAACTGAAGCCTGGGGGACAGCTTGTGCTCGCGGCTGGGTCGTGGTGAAGGGATGGGGGTCTTGTTCCCAATGGGCGAAGGAATGAGCCTGGGTGACAGGTTGACTTGCTCCAGTGCCTTGAACTGCAGATCGGTCGGGTAGTCCCGGACGCACCCGATGCGAGCACCGGCGCCGGTAGTCCATTTGCACGACAGGCGCCTCCCCAGTGCAAACTCCACTTCCTTCTCCACGCTCTCTTCCCTTGCAGCCTCTTTGCTATCAACTTTAGTTTCACTCTCAGCAATCTCTTCCACCGCAGCCGCCTCTGCTTCTGCTTCAACTGCTGCCTCACTATTATCGTTGCTGTAGGCAGGTATCTTATCATCGTCGACGGAGCGTCTCTGAAATGCAAAAAATTGTGTGTTTTGGTCATGCATGCAAGCGGACTACACTATGCCGTCGATCATGCAATCTTTGTTTGCTTGCCAAACATCTGTCTAATTTAGTGATAAATCTTCCAATTGGATGACCTCTTCTCCGGACTACCTATTACAATGTTCGTCGAAACGAACACCACAAAGGAAGACTGCAGATTTACCTGGACATTGGTCAGATCTACATGGTTGTCCCTGAGGAAACTAATGAACTCCCCAAAATGATACTCGGTCGGGAGGTAGTGGCCGCTGTACGGCCATACAGCCTGAGGTAATTAGCAACTCGTAAGAACTTAAACAGGATATATCAAGGATCACAATCAACATCAAGGTCTGTAAAGTTTAAGCTGTTTTGCTGCTGCTTTCCTGGACTACTCAGGTTGTGTGCAGCTATGTGATCGTACCTCCAGGACGCCCTCTTCGGCAACGAGCCTTCCGGCAGCTGTTGTAGCTCCCCCAGCTAGGAAGCTCGAGTGTTGGAATGTGCCCCTCTTCTTCTGCCATGGAGAAAAACACCAAAAGGACTTGGTAAGCTCAACAGGCAGCGAACCACACAAGATAAATACGTCATGAAGTTTCATCTAATTGGATATCCGCGTCCAAAATATGCATGATCTTTTTCACCTTTCCCACATATAATGATCTTGATGTGCTGAGCACGAATATCCACTTGGATCCTTGCGGAGTGTTCAAAAGCCTCTCACTTTGCTTGTAGACAAGCTTCCCGTTCCGGACGGAGACCTCATAAGCTTCTCTCTCTTTCTGCGAGGAGATGAACATAGTATGCGATCAGGTATGCTTCCAGAGCATAAACATCTGGAATCAATTTGGCGAAGTTGTCACAGAATGGCAACTCCGGACAATTCAAGTGTCCTTGAGCTAGAGAAAGGAGCTTACCGGACCAAGATAAGTGATGAGCTGCTTTTGAAGCTTGCTTCTTGGGCACTCGTCGATATTTACTCCTCTTCCATCTCCGACATCCAACCTTGATATTCATCAAACGGGATGAGCAAACCAAGGCTCCACATCATACAACCATGAATCTCCAAATGAACGGGATGAGCATGCATGGTTCTTGGTTTTACCAGTAGAAGAATGGTTGGGTGCTCTCACTGGCGAACCAGACATCATAATATAAATGCAAATTGTGCCCATAGCGATGCCGTGGATCAATCTGCAGAGCACAACACGGAAGGAATCATTGTCCGTTGAACCACTCATGTAAAGTTCTAATTAGGTTCCGTAAGACCATGCTTACAGCTTCGAGCCAGTGCCTTAGTGCTAGTTTCTGAGCTTTTTCGTCTTTGGACAGACCCTTACCAACCTGAGAAAGATGGACACGTACATCAATTTGATTGAATTGTGTAGATAGAAGCAAACAACCCAATTACCTTGGCTAATCTTTTTTTCGCCCTTGTCCATTTAGAAACCGCTGTTTCTGGCTTCTCGACGCGGAAGAACGAGACAGAGCTACTCTTAAGAGATGCAAAATCCAGTGCCTTCCACCTACAGTCAGAGGAGGAGGAGAAGGATTTAGAGTGAGGTAAAGGAGCAGCACAAATCCTGGAAGTGACAAGCTGAAGTCAGAGGCCCACCAGAGTTCCTCGACTACTACTGCACAATCTGCAAGATTTCTTCTGGTTCGATAGCTCTTGTAGACCTTTTGCAACGTAATTGCCGCAGCGTCGAGCTCTCTCAAAGGCCTCGGTGAGGAAAACGCAGGGAGCTGCTCCGGAAGCTTCACATGAGGCAGCACGAAGTTCACCGGGACCTTGAGACTAGATGGCTGCGCTGCCACATAATCTGTGGCTTGTTCGGAGAAAGATCGATCGAGCTCAGTGACGCCAGGTTCCCAGTTCTTGAAGCTTAATGACCTCTCCATGACTGCACCACCGGGCACACCAGATACCATCACGCTCAGGAATTATTCCTTGTGATGTCGAGCGATTTCGGGATGATGATTTTTGCCTCTGCCAGAAAACGAAAAGGATTGTGTTTCTCGTGTCAGACAAACCATGGTTCTATAAAACCAAGGAAAACAATAAGCTCATACTATCTCTCCAAATCTCGCCTATAGAACAATTATACTTTTAAATTTTCAACAGTGAGCATCACACGCAGGTTTAGCTCTGACAACCTTCATGAAAGAGTTTAGAGGTAGTCTAGAACACAAAGAGCACCCAAAAACAAATGGTTTGCTCCAAAACTCATGCTTTCCATATGATAAATCACGGATTTTTTTGGGGGGCAAAACAGAGCCCTCTCTGTAGGAATTTTATGTTAAATCCGAACCAAATTACTCAGGGATCAACCATGCAAAATCCACAGCTTCACATGCAATACTTCAATGATCGGTCGCAAAACCAGCATCTAACTTCACCAAAATCGCAACAACAATAGGTCCTAATCGAATCAAAGCAGCATGTTCCGCGCAGAAGCCAGAAGAAAACGAGAGGAAAAGAAAAAGAAAAGAATTCATCAGATATAATTTCGAGAAAGAAAGCATGCAGCGAAAGAAGAGGCAGAATTAAAAAAGGGAAGGGAACAAGTTTTGGTCACCGTACGCGACAGATCACGGATGGAAAGCAACTGCTCTGCAGCAGCAGAAGGGGAAGAATTCTACTGGTATTGCACAGCCCCCAACAGCTAATGTTGATTGCGGCCACCCACCCCTCTTTCATATATAGGGAGACGGTTTAATATCTATGTGTGGAGAAGAGAACACCAAAGGACACGAAATAGACTGGACTAGTCCTCTTACTAGTCTTCAGATCAGAGTCCACTTGCCGTGTGATTTGTGGAAACTGGAAACGAAGCTGGGATCGGGATTGAAGGTAGCAAAAGACGATTGCCAACGGTGGTTCTTCCGCGGTAGCCGTGGAAAAAATAACTTGTGGAAAACCGAAACCCTCCCGTGCATGGACTTTCCGACTTCGCCTTTGTCGGGAGCAGAGGCCAGAGAGGAGGGACGATCAATTCTGCGCCACCTTGGAAGTCTGCATGTGGGGGTAGGAGAAAACCCAACCATACATGTCCTGGGGGACAGGTTGGATTAGATTCTGGCCAGGTCACCGAGTCAACCCCTCCCGTCCTGCCTGCTCATGTGGTACCATCCGTGTAAGACTTCTCGAACTGATATCTTCTACTGTGATACTCGGAGATCTGGGAAGTTTGAGCTCGTCGGCTGTGCGACTGCCATTGACTTCGTCTTTGCGAGCTAGCAAGTCGCTTTTAGCATACTTGACGTTTCTTATTGCGTGTACAAGTTAAAAGATCTCGATATGAGATGACTATATATCTTACGATGATCCTTGTTTTATCGACGGATACAATAATTATTAGGTACGTCATTGATGGCGTAGTGATGATATTTATCATGGGTCTTGGGGTTATGGTGGGTGGCATGAAGTGTACACCTCCGGTCTCCCATGTCAGTATGGTGGTTGGGCTTTCGATGTCAGCTGCAAACCTCAAGATTTAGCTGGTCGCCTTGGCTTGTCTTCTAGTGGTCACTCATTTGATCCAGTCATTGCAGGACAAGGAGGCTACTTAATTATCGTTCTCGTCTGATGCTAACAATCCAAATTCATGCAAATAAGGTATGTTAGAGAAGAAGAGAATACGGGTGGGTTTTAAGAAGAGAAAGAACAGTAAACAACGTACGTCCGTCGAGCTTCGCTCTTCAACTTTTCGGGTCATTCAAAGAACACCTGACTTGGGGAGAGATATTATACGTTTACGAACGCAAGATCCAAGGCATGGCTGGTGCATCGAAGCTGCCTCTGCGAAAGCATTTCCACAGGTCTACGACGATAATATTATATATGAGTTGTTTTTGACCGTGCCAACGTTGCACGGAGAGTCTACGACAGGCCGATGTTGTCAACTAAATCCCAGGTCAAAGTCTTCACTGCCGCAATTCTGTGGCTATGCAATGCCATATATAGCATCATTTTCCACGGTACCATACGTTTCCTGCTGCCGCCATGCACGGTCTCAGGCAAGCTCTCCTGCATGAAATAGAAGCTTTCGTCTTGTGGCTTGCCCGCCTATTATCTTTTCTTTTAATTATAAGGAAATATCATCCCTCCCCACTGTTGTGATTGATTTAAAATCAACCACTCCCATTCAATCTTTATATCTATACAATATTATCGACGAAGATAAGATGGATAGATAGATGGGCCCGTATATCTTTTCGGGCTCAGATTTAGACGGCGTGGGTGGGAATGGTATCGGTCCGGCCCCCTCTTCTTTGCTTTCGGGGCCCACATGGGAACGAGCCATTTTACTCCGTGCGGAACAACCCGCATAAACACTCACACGAATCCATCAGCTGCGACGACGGCGGCGGATGGAGGTCGCATGTACCGTTCGATTGCCTCGATAAGTCCGCACCGTGGCCGACCGATACAGGGATTCTTATCCTGCGTATGGTATCCTTTCCTTATCCCCGAACTCTTATTCGGTCTCCGGTATCCCCCCGTGATTAGCGTTGATGAAAGAGGAAATCGCTGAGGATTATAATTGGGGCGGATCGTTAGCGTAGAGGAGGCGGAGAAGTTAGTTTCGGAGAAGCGGAGGCACCCTAATTCCACCGCCTTTTTTCCTTTGCTTCTCCGATTCTTCTTCATCGTGGTCCCGATCGCGCCGGGGTTTCGGAGTCGTTGACCTCGTATGGGAATCGGTGAGATCGTCGTCGATCCATGGGATTGATCGATCGCTTCTAGAGTTTTTAATCTCCTCGCTACCAGTTCGATCTTTGTGGATCCCAAGATCTCCTCCCCTGTTGATGTATCTTCTCCTCCCCGGGGCCGATTCGGATGCGAAGGAACCCTACCAGTTTCTTGGCATTCGCCCCCCGCCTCCGCGCTCCTTCCTTGGGAAAGACTTCTTCTTTTGCCTCCCCAGAGATCGATGGGATAAGGAGTTCGCCAAATTGCAAGCGGGGTAACTAGACATCTACGTTCCCTCCGCTTTTAGTTACATATATAGCGCTATTTAGGTTCTGGTTCCGTTTGGATTGGGAATATGGATTCGTCCCAAGGATCGACGATGACATCCGCAGCAGCGGCTGCGAAGGTGGATGTATCTGTGGTGGATTTGTTGCCGGTTTATGTTAAGGAGTTGATCGCCGGTGGAGCCGCTGGGGCGTTCTCGAAGACTGCAGTAGCACCCCTTGAGCGCATTAAGATAATATTGCAGGTTTGTTATCTCGTCCCTTTGCTTGCTATATCTTGATGACTGTGTTATATTCCCGCGTCTCGTCCCAAGTCTCGTTTAAACCTTTCTAGAATATGATGTAAGAGGTGTCGTCTCGATTTATTCACCCGTCTCTGAGCCTAATCTTGCAACTTTCGTTTAGCTTGTAATTTCTTGGCTGTTGTGAGGTGTCTCCAGAATAGCTTATGCCTTTGTCATGAATTTTTCTTCAACTGCGGTTCTTTAAAAGTATGTTCTACCGAATATATCACTTGTTGTTGATTATGAATAACATTTTGTAGACATATATTCTTTTTTTCCTAAGTATCATAAACCATGTTGGTGCTGTATGCAGTAATTAATTTCTCCTAGTTTTAAGAGTACAGTGGTATAGTATTGGTGGTCTTTAATTTGATGATTCTTTTAGATGCTATTTTGTTTTTCACCACTTGTTTGGAGTTCTGCTTGTTCTTTCAGTGATACTCTACTTTTTCCAATGGGTTGATTTTTTATGTATTTCTGAATTGTATATCCACACAAAATACATGGGTAAGATAATACACCAAGGACTCTAGGCCAAGTGTGAAGCTCCAATCGGTTGGTTGTCTCGTTATGGTTTTATTTGACCGAAATGTTCATAGTAGCTAGTTACTGTAGTATAGAGATATTTTTACGCTTTGAGATAAGGTATACCATGTGCCCTTTCGGATTTTGAAACCTTTCATTAATGATTGTCTGTTGTTTGATTTGCTAATGCTGAGGTTTCTCTCTAGTCATCTGTTCTTTTAAGGTCAAATTGTGTCAACAAGTGCCACGTAAATTTGTGCTATTTTATTTCTCATCTTGTTTCTTGAGGTGAAAAATGATGTTAGCTTCTCATCTGTTTTCTGTATCATTGTCGTGACAGTTTCTAGAACTTCTTGAGGACATATGATAAACAGGAATTTGTTGAAAAGGCTTATATATTATTAGATTTATAATGTTATTTATGCTTTCAATGTTACTTTGACAGACAAGAACCGAAGGGTTTAAATCTCTTGGGATTTTACAATCTTTGAGGAAGTTGTGGCAACATGAGGGCTTCTTTGGATTCTATAAGTAAGTAGAAACTAATAAAACTGCAGAGTTACATTTTAAACAATTATTAGTTTTTTTACGTTTTAATATTTGTCATTTTTGTCTTTTAGAGGAAATGGTGCTAGTGTGCTCCGAATTGTACCTTATGCAGCACTACACTTCATGACATATGAGCAGTATCGTTGTTGGATTCTGAATAATCATTCTTCATTTATCTCGGGACCATTTGTTGATCTTCTAGCTGGTTCAGCTGCTGGTGGGACTGCTGTTTTGTGTACCTATCCATTAGATTTAGCTCGGACTAAGCTGGCTTATCAGGTAAATGCAAAGTCTAATTCTTATGCTCTTATGGATATTATTCTTATTTTCTTGCCTGATTTCTGATCTTCTCAAACTTTGTTTCTGATGTTCTGCATGTGCATTTCATGCAATTAAGGATTTTGGAGTATTTTGTTAAGACAAACAAACTAATTCTAGGCATTAATGTCAATTGGTTGATAAGCTTAGGTCACTCAGCCATATTTCAGATTATTGTAGTAATTAGTCATTGTGTTGATTGATTTTGTTCCTGTCAAAATTTGCCCTATTTGTGCTATCATCTAATCCCTGGGTAGTAGTATAACCAGGGTAGCATTGTATTTTCTTCTTCCTTTTCGTGTCTACTTAGAACCTCTTAGCTATTTTTGTACGTTGGACAGTTTTGTTTGTATTCAATGTGATCGTGGTGCCTTGGTTGATGTTTGCTTAAACTATCGTTTCAGGTAAACAGTCCAGGGAGATTGAGTAGTGGTCTAAGAATGTTTAGTCCTCAGCCTGCTTATACTGGTATTGGAGATGTGTTTAAGAAGGTCTACATGGAAGGTGGGATACGTTCTCTATATCGAGGAGTAGGTACGTTAAGCTCTTGTATAATCTTTCAAACAACCACCCTGCTTCTTTAGTTTGTGTAATTGGAGTTATGTTTATCCTTCCCTTTGTCAGTTATTGCGTAAGCTTTCTAATGATCACCCTGCTCCTTAACTTTGAATAATCATTTATCAGTTTCAAAAGAAGCTTAGGCTACACAAAACAGGGTCTGCCATACCGAACCGTACCGCCTGGTACGGGCGGTATGTATCGGTCCGACAGGTTGTCGGTACGCGGATCGCCTGTTACCGGTCCGAGTATACTGTAGCACTGTAGCAGTGCTATAGTACTCGGCGCGCCTGGGTATACCGCTCGGTATACCGTACCGTACCGGTACCGAGCTCAGGTCGAAATATCGGTACGGTACGGTATTGCGAACCTTGACACAAAACATGTGGTTTACGCCAGTTAATATTTCTCTGTTTTCATTCTTCTGGAATTGCACATTTGAATGGACCGTGCACTGATGTATGCTTGATGCCAGTAATCTCTCAAGTTGGTGCTGCAATATTTTGTGTTGACATAAGCTGTGATCATGACAGATCTCCATTAAATGATTCAAGCATGGCAGTATGATAACTATCATGTTATGTTGATGCAGGTCCTACGCTTATTGGTATCCTTCCTTATGCTGGTCTGAAATTTTATATATATGAAGATCTCAAGGCTCGGGTACCTGAAGAATACCAAAAGTCTGTAGTTCTACGCCTCTCATGTGGGGCTTTAGCTGGTTTATTTGGGCAGACTCTCACTTATCCACTAGATGTGGTCAGGAGACAGATGCAGGTATTCTACCACTTGATGTTGTCCTGTGCCTTCTTTTAGTGGTCATTCTGTGATAACAGTAGGATGATTTTTTCTTCCAATCATGAAGGATGTAGTTTGTGATTAGTTTCTTTATGTTCTTAGGTTCAAAATCAGCAATCGCTAAATCACCCAGGTGCTCCACTCATCAGGGGAACAGTCCAAGGGCTTTCATTCATCCTCCATACTCAGGGATGGAGGCAACTATTTGCTGGTCTGAGCCTCAACTATGTCAAGGTAAGTACATGTACTGTAAGCATGCATTTATGAAGTTGGTAAGTACATGTACTGTAAGCATGCATTTATTAAATAGGTAAGCAAGTTCATGTACTGTAAGCATGCATTTAGAAGCAGGTAAGTGCATGTAAGCATGCATTTAACGTAGTGGCAACCAGAAACTCCTAAATATTTTTTTGTTCAGATGGTCAATTTTGAAGTCGTCCTTATACAAGGGGACAAAAAATTATGACTCACCAGAACTTCCTGTGATCAAGAACTATTCCCTTCTGTAAGGACTGATCTGGTGTTTTTGGATGGAGATATGGTAAAGATTAATTTTTGATAGAATTGGTTGTGTTTTGGCAATTTAATCTAAGTGATGCGTCTCATTTTTATTTTAAAAATTGTCAATTTTGAACTCGTCCTTAGATAAGGGGAAAAAAAATTATGACTCACCAGAACTTGCTGTGATCTAGAACTATTCCCTTCTGTAAGGACTGACCTGATGTTATTGGATGAAGATCTGGCAAAGATTAATTTTTGATAGACTTGGTTGTGTTTTGGCAATTGATTCTAAGTGATGCTTCTCATTTTTATTTTAAAAATTGTCCAAATGAGAAGATCTATGAGCTGAATTTCTGCATGACCACAAAGGTTGGACAAGTACTGCGATGGTACATGGAAAATTCCATTAGCTGTTTCTTTCTATAAGGGAGGAAATTTAATGATCAATTTAGATGCTATAGTGTGGAGGATGCATTTCTCCAGCAGGATCTGAACTTTCTGTACCTTACTGAAAAGTGGAATCATAGTCAGCCATGGGATTGGCCTAATATATGAGATACTTTGTTATCTAGCAGGGAATATTTTGCTATATAGCTAGGACAAAATTATGAAACATGACCTTTTATAAATCTCATCTTTTAGTTGTTTAATGGATTGGAAAGTAATAATTTCAAGGATGTCTTTCATGAGTCTCAAGCTATCCTATTCATGCATATATGTAGTAGTTAATTATCAGCTCACTTGAAGGACACCTGAGAAATAGTATCTTGCTGTAGTTTTGAAGTGGAGGAATACAGTAGTTTGTTTCCATGGTTTCTGGACCAATGATAGGAAGTCACCTCCTGTTGATCAGAAGTGAAAAAAATGAAAGAAAATTAAGCGACATCTGAGGGCCAAATTGTCTCGATCAGTTGTGCTTCTCAATGCTTAGCTTCAGGTTATGCTTTGTTGATGTCGTTTATCAAGATGTGAGTTTGAATGATTAATTCTTTTGCATAGGTACTCTCTTAAGCTAATTTTGTCTTGTCACAAGTTTACTAATTAACTAGTTGTAATGCTATGTGGTACTATGGGTTGGATTATTTAAGGTCCAAAGAAACTGTCCCTATTATAATCAGTCTTGTGTCTCACTTTTACAAAATCCATTTATTGCCTCTATTAGAAATATACTGTTTGTAGTGCAACACAATATTGTATTGTGCGTTCAAAAATAACTGCACTTGCTCTTATCACTAAACCCATATTTATCTTTTTTTTTTCACTTAAAAATACTTGGTGATTATATCCGTTAATAGATGGCAACGATTCACTAATAATTGCTTGTTTGATGTGTGCAGGTTGTTCCTTCGGTAGCCATAGGGTTTACAGCATATGACATGATGAAGACTTTGCTAAGAGTACCGCCTCGAGCAAAATCTTCGGCTCCTTCGGCTGCATAAAGGATTTGTATCCAATATTGATGCTCTATTCTCTCACTTAAACAATGGAACCATGGCATGAGGATTGGCTTAATCATTCGGAGAACCTTTAGCAACTATGCATTTGAGTTTCTCTCGGGATAAAAAAATATGCATGTTAAACTATGTCTACCACTTACAGATGGCATATATGAATATGTGACAGCGTCAGCTAAACAATTGTATTCATATCTGCTTTAATATGTATTCACAACTATCATGGAAATATTGAATACAGAACGAACTTAATTGATTTGGGAGCAAGAATCTTTATCCTTCAGGACCGTTGGCTTCAACCTATTGATTTGGGAACGAGAGCTGCAGCTGGTTTGATTGGAACTCTCGAATATGGCCGTGCAAACGAGTCGAGAACCATACATTCTGTACCAGACACAATCTTGCTGGCTACCATCAACTGAAACGTTACTGGTAATAGATGAGTGTTGATCGAGTTACAATTTCTATCTGTGATGGATTTCTTGTCAAATTCACGTTTCTTGATAAAAGATGCGTTTGCTTTGGTTAGCCTTTGGTACTTGGAAGTTTCCTTCTTGCAACTAAGTGATCTCAAACCTCTGAATCCATGAAAGTGAAAACTTGGATCAATGGGTCGGTTGCAGGTTGTTGGGAGATGTTGATGACATATCTGAGAACAAAAAGGATCAAGCAAAGCAAAGCAAAGCAAAGCATGAACATCTGTCGATGGAAAGTCTCGCCAAGTACAGTGGAGCAAAGTAAAAATACCCGAAGGGCACAAGGAATGTACAACCAACAGCTTCAAAATCCGTCTCCCTTGTCTTTTAAACCCGAGAAAGAAATGAGTAACTTATATCTAAACTCTTAAGATCCACATCTTGTGGTATATAAATAAGGGGGCAGGATGGATGATCCGTCCGCCGCCGCATATAATCCACATCTCATCTGGTGACCCAACGACAGCAGTACAAGTCGCCGGCTTTTGTTACCCACCTCGCAATAAATTTTCTGGATGGTGAAGTTAACTACTAATACATCGAAGCTTAACTTCCAATTAACCTTTCGACTACTTAAAATTTATTTACAGACTAGAGCCGGATTAGAATAAACGAGAAGTCCTGCTCTTTTGATTCCAAATATGTGTGTGTATATGTATACATACATGTAATGCGCTAATGACTGTTTGAATCCTATCAACATTGGAGTTGGGAAGATTTAATATAATGGTATAGGGAGGATGCTTTCACGACTCGAATCTGAATCATCATCCAGATAGCAAAGGAGCAACTCCTTTGCTCCTTTTAACTGTGGATAAGATATCAGTCAGGGAATGGATAGCTGCTGATATGGGCTGGCTCAGTTTCGTTGCTCCTTTGCTCCTTTTAACTGTGGATAAGATATCAGACAGGGAATGGATAGCTGCTGATATGGGCTAGCTCAGTTTCTTCTTTGTGGAGACAAATGATGGACAGGGAAAGGGCGAGCCAGTCAGGTACGTGCACCTCCAACACGATCCGAATTAAAATTAAGTAGGAAGGGTCACACACACACACACGTACTCTCTCTCTCTCTCTCTCTCCTCTGCGATGTATTTTATGATGAGTCACGAAGAAATGGTCGTCTCGTCCAACATGATCCGAATTAAAATTAAATAGGAAGGTTACACCCTCTCTCTCTCCTCTGCGTTGTATTTTATGACGTGTCACGAAGAAATGGTCGTCTCTCCAACCGATCTCCGCTCCCGGCCATTCCTTCCTCCTCCGCGCATTTCCATCGATGGGCGGCTCGGCTCCTTTTGCTGCCCACTACCGATCCCATCGGTATCAGAAATAACAAGAACAAATAATATTCGTCTTCCTCTTCCTCCTCCTCCTCCTCCGCTGAGCGAGTGAGGCCGGCCGGAGCCGTAGGCCCAGGACCTGTGCCACCTTCGTCGCCCCACCCCTCGATCTTATCATGATCGCTGGCACTGCATCCCATACAACTACCACCAAAGCAGGAAGCAGCAAGAACACCTCCTCCCGCTTTTCCTCCTCCTCCTCCTCCACCTCCTCCTCCTCCCAGGCCACCGCAACCCAGGCCTGCGCCGCCTGCAAATACCAACGCCGCAAGTGCAACCCCGACTGCACCCTCGCCCCTTACTTCCCGGCAAACCAGCAGCACAAGTTCCTCAACGCCCACCGCCTGTTCGGCGTTAGCAATATCCTCAAAATCATCCGCAACCTCGATCCCTACCAGCATGCCGAAGCCATGAAAACCATCATATACCAGTCCGATATGCGTGCTCTCGATCCCGTCGGCGGTTGCTACCGCATCATCCGCGACCTCGAGTACCAGATCGAGCGCGACTCCAATGAGCTCGCCCTCGTGCTGAGGCAACTCGCCGTCTGCCGTGCGCAGGCTGCCCAGGCCTCTGTCGCGTCCGACCTGGAGGTCCACCCTAATCTTCTGCTTAACACGGCCACGTCCGAGGATGTGGATAACGTGATTTATGGTGGTAATATTTTCCCTACGATCAACCAGCAGGATCAACAGCAATACTATAATTACTTGTGCTACGACGATGACATCACCAGAGATCATCAAAACAACCACCCAAATACAAGCATCATAATCAATAATAATAGTAATAACGATAACAATGATCTATCGAGTCTACAACACCAGCCGCACTTCAACTGCATGGTGGAGGACGAGGACGTAAAGCCTTTGGTAGACATGTTCGATGTCAGACAGACGTCGATGGGAGGGGACGAGGATAACGCCGATGAGGCCGGTCATCCACGTTGCAGCAGGTAAAAGTTTTTATTTATTTATTTATTTGTTTGTTCGTTTATTTTCCCTTGAAACGTTTATATTCATGAATTGAATTCTAAAAAAACACGGGAATGGCCTCGATGGTTGGGTTGGACAGATTGAGACGTGGGACGAGGCAATAGCTAGGTCACCTATCTGTCTGTGTGTGTGTGTGTGTGTGCGTGTAATCTCATCAGGTTGGCTTTGTTTGATGTTACAGCACCCAAGTGCCGGAGCTAAAGGATGAGACGAGTCCGGTGGAGCATGCGCAGGAGGAACACGATCTGAAGGGTGCTGCCTCGTTGTTCACCCTAACCAACTGTAGTTAGTTCCTCATCTCTATATATGATATGTTTTCGTGTGTTGTTGTTTGGCTCTTCTTTTTTCTTGTTTTGTTTTTCTATTCTTAAAATCTCGTAGAGATCGCACGCAAAGGTAGACGACAGTTGTCGAAACTTGTCATGCCAAATGTCAAGTCGGAGCTTTCTTTTTCTGGAAAAGAAAAAGGGTGCAAGTATGGATCATTTCATATGTTTTAAAATGAATTAAAATTCACGTTGACATCTAATAGCTGTTTGCATCGAGCAAAATAATTCTCGGATGGAATTAAAATTCACGTTGACGTCTAAGAGCTGTTTGCATCGAGCAAAATAATCCATGTCAGGATCCAATAGCTTATGAGTCCATCTTAATTGTCCGTGCGTCGCGGGTTTCGTGGTCTTCGTTCCACTTCCCTTCCGCCGTAGTTGGTCCTCGATCGCGCGCAAAGGTCTGGTTAATGTCGCGTCATCGTCTCCTCCAACTAAACTACATATTGGATTCGTCCATTCGCATGGCACCGTAGAACGAGATGAAGGGAGAGCTACCATTCATTCGTTTCGTAGCAGGTATTACCACCATGGATGTGATCGACGACGATGAGAAGGTGAAGCCGATGTTCAAACCACAGGATTTTTATTTATTATTATTCAGCGAAGCAAGTGCTTCACTGGCGTTTCACTTACTGACCCAATTACACACACCTAGTAGAAACCGATCACCACACAAGTTTGAAGCGTACGTTCGTGACTGCTGCATGCAGGCCTGCACTAGTTCTTCTTGTCATCTCCCTCCCCCGTCCCCGTGACGACACAAAGAGATAGAGTGAGAGCAGGGAGTGACAACTTTATTTAGGGTAGATAGGCAGGCAGGCATTGGATCCTTAGAGCTGGTGGCCATTACTGGATGACTTGCAGTTCCATCCAGGTGTCTCGGACCACTCTCCATCCTTGTCCGGTACCATTCCTTTGTTCTTCTCCACCCACCACGCCTCGGGTATCTGCAACTCATCCTTCAAGTAGCCGCCCTGCTTGTTCACTAGCGCCAGGCTCCTCTCCACCTTCAAGTGGAACTCGACGTCCTTCCAGGTCCACCCGGCCACCGTGTGGAGGACCACTTGCAGGTCGTGGTTACTCGCAAGGATTTTCAAGATGGTCGACGTCTTGAAGTCTATGTCCAGAACTTTCAAGTAGGGCGACAGCTTGGAGTCTATGTCCAGAACTGAGCCGGTGACAACGTAGTCGGTTGGAAGTGGCCAATATGGAACGATGTCCCAAGTATTCCGGACACGTAGAGCTCGAAGGTTGGGCAGCTTCTCAAACCTTTCATTGAAGGCCTTGTTCCCAACTTTGGGGTTCTCAAACACCACGGCACATACTGGGAAGTGCTCCTCCTTGCCTTCTATCTTGGACAGTCCTTTGTTCACTATATCGAAAGAACTCAAGATGGCGAGGGCGCCTCCCAAGCTGTGGCCAACGCACACTATGCTAAGGCTCTCGTTCTTGTATAGCTTCACTAGCTCGCTTAACTTACTCAGTAACTGCTCCCTTGCACTGGTTGCGTTGCATGGAAATTGCGAACCGCTGTCTTTCAACGTGTAGATGTCGTTCCAGCCGTTCACGACCTTCACATCTTGCACATCTTGGTTGTCGGGGTCGAAGGGCACGAGACTGATCACTAAGCCCTCGATGAACTCCGACGGCCGCATCGTGCCGCGCCATACGACGTAGATCTCGCGGCGCCCGGTACGCTTCGTGTATGCGTCCTTGGAGACGGCGATGTAGCCCATCCAATTAGACTCCTCGGTGAAGTTTGACCAATTAATCGACATGGCGTAGAGGTACTCCTTGACGTCGTAGTTGGCCGCGTAGGGGAAGAACACATCGTCGAGGAGGGTGCTGGGGCGGTAGCGGCACATGCCACGGTAATTGGAGTGGTCGTCGCTGATGAAGGAGTCGGCGGTGACCTGACACATGTCACCGCATTGGAGGAGGAAGACGCGAAGGGATTGGTCGAGAGGGTCGAGAAGGCCGGACCAGTGCTCGGATCCGAGGAGCTCAGGCCAGGATGGTGTATCCGCGCCAATCTTTTGCGCCATTGGAAGAGGAGGAGGAGGAGGATAGGAGTAACTGATACTTTGTGTGGAAGACGGTGAGGTGCCCAGTGACATATATATACAAGGAGATGGTAGCACGAACATGAAGGCCCATACAGGGATTCCCAATAATTGAAGCTGCTTGCCGATGAATGCAGAGCTCACCACGTGTTTAATGGAATCAATGCCGCAGGTAACTTTGTTTCTTCATTTTCTTATTCACGGGCCCCCACAGTATTAATTAGGCATGATGATGTGATTTCGTCTTAGAAAACATTTTGATAGTTTGTCTTTTTCATGTTAGAAAATAAAACACAAATTACACAGAAGAAACAGGAATCCGTATATGTATATACAATATACGTTACTAATATATGAAAAATTACATAGAAAATTATTTTCTTCTGAGATTAGTACGGGCACGGCGACAGCTTTAGATATTCGATCCCACCGGGGTCGTCGAAATAGAGTCTGACCAATAATAATAGAGCACCATTGTGTCATCTCATCATCGTACTATGTTTTCTTTTTCTGGAGGTCTACTTCACAGGCCACCTGTTCCGGACGGGCTATTGATAATGGATTCCACTAGGATAGTGAATGACAGAGCAGCATGCCATCTCATCGGACTCTATTGGGGTTTTTGGGTGGTTCCCCGGCGTAGTCGTTTTCCACGTTATCTTTTATTACTGTCGACTTGTGTTTCACAAGTCTACAGCTCGTTCCATTGATTAATGTGTGATGGCTCGTACAGAGTGGTTGAGACATTCATATTCAATCTTTATCTTCTTTTACTTTAAAAAACAATATATTATTTTTTTTGATGTCTTTCACATAGTTTTTTTTTTTTTACAAGTATTGATTTGATATCTTTTAAGTAGAGAATTATTGAGACATAATCATATTATGTAGGTACATCTGTTAGACCATTAATATCGATTATTTTTATTCTGATATCCTCTTCTAACTTTTTAATTATTATTATCGATTTGTTTTTTCATGTCTTTTATATACATAGTTATTAAGATATTATCACAATACGTAGATAGATATATCTGTTGACGACGATAGATACCGATTATATTCATATTCACAAGTTTTTTATTTTTTTTCTTTGGAAAAAAAAACACCCATCTAATAATAAATTTTTTTTACGTCTTTCGCATAGCTTATTTCTTTTGTTAGCATTGATTTGTTCAACATGTTTTTGAAGTACTGATTTATTTCGATTCCATGATCTAAATCATTTTTAGTTAATTTTTGTTAACTAAATTAGTTAGTTAAAATTTATTGTTGGTTACATCTATTGACATTCTGTGCATCGGGTTATTCGAACCCTTCAAACATTCCGAAGGTGGAGAAAAAACTTCTATCCTAATAACAAAAATATTTTTTGAAATAATTAATTTAACAAGTCTATTGAATTAAAATTTAAGAGTTGAATCTCTAAAAATCGCTCGACAAATTAAAATTGAATTGTCTGATTCGATTTTAAAACCGCTCAACATTTTTTATTAAAAAAATGTTTTTGCACAAATAATTTTATTTAAAAGTGTTTACTAGAGATATATTTCTTAATTTAATTAAGATATAAATGTTTTTTAATATCTTAATTTAAAATGTTTTAAACTAAAATACGTTTAAACTTTTAATAGAATAGGAGGGTGGGAAAAACATAAATATTAGTTAGCATTTATGTTTTCTCAATCGTCCGCACCTGTCGTAACATCTCTCTTTTTTTTTTCTTAAGGATCTATTTATAATGTAGAGATCTAAATTTAAATATTAAAAATTAAAGATGATGTGTGAAAGATTCATATTAAGTTTTAACAAAAATCCTTAAGATAACCCCATGCGTCATTACCGTGGAATGGGATTTCCAATAATTGAAGCTGCTTGCCGAAATAGACTCTGATGAATAACAGGGCATAATTGTGTTATCTTCTCATTGTACTATTATAGCACATATTTTGGTAACCTGTCCTCCAACCACTATCCATAGCCACATCAACATCAAGGTCAACACATTAGATTGTACCCCCCGGTCAACGTCGATTCCGCAAAGGTCGGGCGATGCCAACCGAGTACCATGTCGTCTCGCAAGAGTCGGGACGACATTGATCGAGCATAGTGCTGTCCCGAGGCCGGGACGGTGCCGACCGAGTATAGCGCCGTCCCCGTCGTCCCGTAAGAGTCGTGGCAGTGTCGTCCTGTAAAGGCCAGATCGACGCCGACCAAGTACAGCGCCGTCCCACAAAGGCCAGGACAGCATCGACCGAGTACCGTGCCATTCCGTAGGAGTCAGGATGATGCCGACCAAGTACAACACTGACAATCATAAATATGATAGGTACGGTTGGCCCTTTGGTGGAAGGATAAGAACCCCTCGTGGGGCTGACAACAAGTGATCTCTCGCTGATTTTTCACTCAATTCTAACAACTTCGGAGGGGTCGAAATCGAGAGCCCCCTTCTCAACCCTGACCTGTGTGCAGGGACCGGTGATAAAGAGGCAAGCGGTCAGCCAAAGGGAGTTTCCCGACTTTGGAGCCAAAGCCCAAGCCTGACCTCACCAGACTTCGATCCTCGTCAACCAAACACCAATGTGGATGATCTTGCACACCTAGGACCGAACCAAGCTGTGCTGACTCCCTCTACCATGGTGTAAAGGATCACTATCATTTTGGCGCTAGGAGGGCCCAATGATGCAGGATCAACCTCAACCTGGCAACACGACCGAACACTTGGGTAGCGAGCGCCTCCCGACCCACTCAACCCCTGGGTTAGGGGAGCAACACCCGCCTCCCCCTCGAGCAGGAGGCCAACGACTCCATAGAGACCCCGAGGTGCTATTGGCGACTGTTCACTAACCCGGGGTTATCACCCCCGGGAGTGGTTGCCGCTCAACCTTCCATCTCCGCTGAGGCATTCCTCAGCCTGACGCACTAAGTTCAAGTCCCGACGGGGATGATGCAAACCATTGTTCCCCTCGTCTTGCCTCCTGAACAACCCCCAATGCTCCTGTCGACGCCACAAGGGAAATTGCCACCCCTAGCTCCCGTGCAGCCTCCACCCTCTCCTACACCACCCCTCGCTCCTTGACAGCTCGTGATGACGAACATCGCCGCGTCACCCGAACGACGGCTGACGCCCACGCATGACGCATGAAGCCTTCAACACCCCCACACCGGCAGCCCCGAGCCAGACACACTATCGTCTAACTTGGCGGACTCCCTCCAGGCACAACTGCACTCGATAAATCGGCGCCTGGACGAGGTTCAATAAGAGTTTTGTATATCCAAGAAGGAGCTCAACGAGGCCTCTTCAGGGGGATTGCCTTTCATACTCGAGGTTCAGGACAAGCCAGTCTCTCCAAGCTTTTGTCTTCCTATTCTCGAAGCCTATGATGGCAGCTTTGATCCAACGAAACATGTCGCCACCTTTCAAGCCCAGATGGCCCTATACGGTACTTTTGACGCCCTCATGTGTAGAGCATTCCCCACCTTGCTTTGAGGCCCAGCTTGGATGTGGTAAAACCGACTCAGACCGGCCTCGATCGCCTCTTTCGACCGATTGGCCAAAGAGTTCGAGCTCAACTTCCTAGCCAGTGTGTGACCGAGGTCGTCCGTAGCTCTGCTCCTCGGCCTCAGCCAAAAGGACGACGAGCCACTTTCTCATTTTATGACATGCTTTGCTACTAAAATCCGGGGGTTGCTCGACGATCACCCTTCTTTGATAATGCAGGCCTTTCTAATGGGACTCCGACCTTCCAGGTTCTTCTGGTCGCTGGTCAAGTGACCTCCTACGACCATCCCCGAAATGCTTCAACATGCTAACCAATACGTGGCTGCCGAAGCATTGGTGGTGGGAAAGTGCGAAGAGAATAAGAGGCTGCGACCAGAACCAACCTAAGGGCAGCCCCCGGTACCGCCAAGAAGGAGAATCGACTGACCCAATGCAACACTCCTGAGGCCCCCACTCCCGCCTTTAAAGTCCTCCAGGACCGAGATATTCCTGCAGATCAGGGAGAAGGGACTCCTGAAGGCCCCAAACTCGATGAAGGCACCGCATGAGCTCAGGGACCATTTAAAGAACTGTAGGTTTCATAACGATTATGGACACGACACCGACGTGACCTCAAGAATCAAATTGAAGAACTCATACGCTGGGGGCACTTAGGTCACTAGATTAAGAGGCCACGCGAAATGTCTCCCCCTCCCTCCGGTCCGGTCGAGAAGCAGATTGATGTGATCAGTGAGGGTCTGGCATCAGAGGGAGATAGCATGACAGGGCGAAAGGCTTATGCCCGAGTGGCCACTGAAAAATGCCCGCGACAAGCCTAACTGCCCCATATCACCTTCCCAACAGGAGAAATTGAACACCCGGAGCATGACGACGCGCTAGTCATCTTGGCCATGATCGCCAATGCTCGGGTTAAAAGGATCATGGTGGACACCGGGAGCTCCGTCGATATCCTATACTTCGACACCTTCCGGAAACTCAACCTAACCAAGGAAGACCTCGCCCCAAGTCAATCGACGCTTACCGAATTTACAAGCGACTCCATTTCATCCCTCGACACGACCGTCCTGCCAATCACCTTGGGCGACGACCCACGAGTCAAGATGATCATAGTAATCTTTATGGTGGTGGAACTCCCTTCACCCTACAACACCATCCTAGGCTGACCAACCCTGAACAAGCTCAGAGTGGTCATCTCCACATACCCCCGCGCGATAAAATTTTCGACCCAAGCAGGGGTAGGAGAAGCAAGGGGCAATCCTCGGGAATCCCGACAATGTTACCTAGCGACGGTCACACTACCCAAGAAGCCATGACACGAGCATCCCATTGCCGACTCTCGGGACGTCACCAAGCCAACACAATGACCCGAACCGACTGAGCATACCTAAGAAGTCCCTCTATGTCACGATCGACCAGATAGGGTCGTTAGGGTTGGGTCGAGGCTACCGAAGGAGGAAAGAGAGTGGCTCATCAACCTACTTGTTGAAAATGCTAACATCTTCGCATGGTCACCAACGGACATGCCCGGGATCGACCAAGCGATCGCACAACACCGCCTGAACATCAGTCCCCAAGCACGACCGATGAAGCAGTGACCCCGAAAGCTCGCACTTGACTGACAAAAGACGGTTGGCGATGAGATAGAGCGACTCTTGACGACGAGATATGTGTGTGTGGTGGGGGGGGGCCTACTTCACAGGTGACCCGTTCACATATGTGTGTGTGTGTGTGTTTGGGGGCCTAGTGGGCCTACTTCACAGGTGACCCGTTCACATGTTTGCAGCACGTTCCATTGCTTAACGTGTCATGGCTCAGACAAAGTGTGTTGACACATCATTGCTGAGACATTCATTATCCATACTTTATATATTTTTTTGAAAAAAAAACACCTCTGAAAATAATATTTTCCACTGATTACACTCTTTTAAATAATTTTTAATTATTATTATTATCATTGATATATTTTTCTCATATCTTTTGCATTAAGGATTATTAAGACATTATCATAAGTACATCTATTGGGAACGGATTATTAAGACATTACATTCATATCCATTTTTTTTTTTAGAAAAAAAACCCTAGCACTAGTGATTTCTACATCATTCATGTGGCGTTTTTGTTAGAATTGATTTGTTGAACACTTCTTTTAAGTACATAGTTGTTGACACATCATCACATTTTGTAAGCATATATATTGGACAATGGATATCGATTACATTTATGCTGATGTCCTTTTTTTAATTTTTTCACTATTAATGTTGACTTATTTTCTTCATATTTTTTGCATATAGAGTTGTTGAAATATTATCACAATAGATAGATATATCTCTCAACGATGGATACTGATTATATTCATATCCATACCCTTTTTATTTATCTTGCGAAAGAAAAACACCCCCTAACAATGTTTTCTACATATTTCATATAATTTCTTTTGGAAGTGTTAATTTGTTAAATGTGTCTTTTAAGTACACTTCTCTAACAAGAGTATTTTTCACGTTTTTCACGTAACTTCTTTTGTTAATATTGATTTGTTTAAGTACAAAATTGTTTGAGATAACATTGATAGAAGATCATGATGAACACAAACATGGAATGACATGTTGCATTCCTTACATCCTCAATGACATGAGGATCAGATTTAAGTAATTGATTTGATTAGGTAATTTAAGTAAATGATCGAGAGAAATCTATTCCTCAAAACTTATATAAATATATATTATCTCGATGAATGAAATCAATACCTTTCATAATGAATGAAATCTATTCTACAATTGCGTTCATTCTGGTATCCTCTTCTAATTTTTCCACTATTAATAGACTTGTTTTTCTCATGTCTTTTGCGTATGGAGTTATTGAGACATCATCACAATAGGTTGGTATATTTATTAACAACGGATACCGATTACATTTATATCCATACTTTTTTTTTCTTTTTCCTTGAGAAAAAAGAAAAACACTCCCCTAACAATATTGTTTTTCAAGTCTTTTATGTAGCCCTTTTTTGTTAGTATTGATTTGTTCCATATGCTTTCTAAGTACAGAGTTGTTGAGATATCATCACATTCTATAGGCATATCTTTTGGATGACGAATATCGATTACATTCATTCGGGTGTCCTCTTCTAAATTTTTCACTCTTACTATCAACTTATATTTCTCATATCTTTTGCGTACATAATTATTAAGATATTATCACAATATGTAGGTATATCTGTTGATGACGGATACGATTAAATTCATACCCACACTTTTTTTTCCTACAAAAAAAAAAAACTACCCTAACAATAGTGTTTTCCACATCGTTCACATAGCTTATTTTGTTAGTGTTGATTTGTTCAACATGTCTATTAAGCACAGAGTTATTGATATACCATCATATTCAATAGGTATATATCATAATTGATACTGATTACATTCATATTCTCATCTTTTTTTTTTCTCTTTTGCCTAGGGAAAAAAAAACACATCCCCTAACAATAGTGTTTTCCACGTCTTTCACGTAGCTTCTCTTGTCAATGTTGATTTGTTCCACATGCCGCCTTTGAAGTACAAAGTTGTCGAGACATCATTACATCTATTCTAGTGTTCTCTTCTAATTTTTCCACTATTATTGTTGACTTGTACTACTCATGCCTTTTGCGTCCAGAGCTATTTGAGACATTATCATAAGAGGTAGGTATATCTATTGACAATGGATACCGATTACATTCATATTCACAAATTTGTTTGTTTCCTTAAGAAAAAAACACCCCCCTAATAATTGTGTTTTTTACGTCTTTCACATAGCTTCTTTTGGAAGTATTGATTCGTTGAACATATCTTTTAAGTATAGAATTATTAGAAAGATATTATATTATATATACATATCTATCGGATGATAGATATCAATTACAATCATTATGAGTTCCTCTTCTATTTTTTCCAATATTACTGCCAACTTGTTTTCCTCATGTTTTTTGCGTGCATAGTTGTTAAGACATCATCACAATAGGTAGGTTGACAATAGATACCAATTACATTCATATCCAAATATTTTTTTTTTCCTAAAAAAGATCCCCCTAACAAAAGTGTTTTCCACATCTTTCACATAGCTTCCTTTATTAGCGTTGATTTGTTGAACACATCTTTAAAGTACAGAGTTGTTGAAACATCATCACTTTCTATATGTTTCACTATTCTTATCTACTTCTTTTCCTCGTATCTTTTGCATACAGAGTTATTGAGACATCATCACAATAGGTAGGTATATCTTGTTGATGACAGATATTGATTACATTCATATCCACACGGTTTTTTTTGTTTTCCTTGGAAAAAAATAAAAACCCCTAACAATAGTGTTTTTCATGTCTTTCAAGTGGCTTTTTTTTTTTGTTAGTGTTGATTGTTGAACATATCATTTAAGTACAGAGTTGTTGAAACATTATCATATTCTATAGGCATATTCATTGGTTCATTCTAGTAGCCTCTTCTAATTTTTTCATTATTACTATCGTCTTGTTTTCCGTATATCTATTGCATACAGAGTTGTTAGAGATATCATCACAATACTCAGATATATTTGTTGACGACGGATATCTATTACATTCATATCGATAACCTTTTTCCTCATGTTTTTTTTTAATACAAAGTTGTTGAGACATCATATACATTATGGTTGCATAACACATTTGAAATTTGTGTTTAAAACCTAATAATTTTTTTTCAAATCTCATGTTACATTTAAAATGCTCAAATGATATCTCATAGTAATATTAGCACTTCAACATTTACGAGATGCTAATATAATTTTTAAATTTCATAAGTACCTATGACTTTGAGTAAAATTACAAGATTGCCATGATGATTTAGTGAAAAATCAACCTGACTTATATTTTCTATAAGATTATATTTTAATTATTTATTTTAAAATATTATTGTATATTTATTTACATGATTTTATTTTTATTTATTATATATTCGGGCCATACAATTTTTTTTATAAATTTTATTTATTTAAACAAAAATATATTTATTTCAAAATAAATATTTAAAAATTAGAAGGATAAATTTATCACAAAATATTCAATGGACTTTTTGACCTACAATTTTGCCAATGTGTATTTAAAATATAATTTTAAATACAATAGGTTCTAAATCGTCTCATAATAATACATTTACTCACACCTTTTTTTTATTCGACTACAGGCTATAAGGATATCCGGATAGAGAATACAAATTATATTTTCTTTTCAATTTGTCAGTATATTTTCGAATGGGCCAGCAATTACTCCTCCTTCGTTGAAGGGACATTAACCATATGCGGCTGTTCACTGAAACGAATTATGTATTGAAAGCTTTTGTTTACCACGTAAGAGCAATTTATATATATAATTTTTAAAAAATCCTACTAATTGACTTGGCATCCACATTGAAAACTTATCCATGATACTTTTTTAATAAAAAAAATTCAGTTTCATCCCCCTATTCAAATCTTATATATATATATATATATATATATATATATATATATATATATATATATATATATATATATATATATATATATTCTGAACCGGTTCAGTGCGTCGCCCCTCCACCAGCTCTTCTTCTCTCCTCCCTTCCCTTCCTCTCCTCTCAACTTCTTCCTCCACCTCCTCCCTTTAGTCACAATTGAGTATATACCACAGTTAAGAAATTGCTAGTGTTGTAAAGACTAGGCATAATTGCATCTACAAGACCTTCAACATACAACAAAAGATTAACCTTTTGAATGTTTCTATTGTTGCTTCAATTGCCAACTACATTACCAACAGAGCATAGACGAATGCAACTTCTAAATGTTTGTTGATGCAGCACCCTCGTACTACCTAATAATAGACACTGAGCATTCCCAATAGCAGCCCAGAGCTATTCACCAATAAATACAACTGGAAAAAATAAATTCACAAAAACAAATCAACAAATCAAACACAAATACTAAAATGATAATCTATCATCTACCCTTGGTACACCAGCCAATTTGGCACGAGTAGAATAACATCATATTTACGAGATGAGTATGCACATCTTGCTGAATGGTTGAGAACTGGAACACTTGGCGATGAGAATTACTATTCCTTTCTCTGTAGCAAAAAAGCAAAGCCTGAATTCTGACGAATCAGAGGTGGCGGATCAACATCTGCTATCTCTATCTCGGTCATTGACTTGGAAATATCATCCACAGAGAAAGGTATGCTGCATCGACAAATTGATGAAGAATAAATCCAGCTTAGATTTTCCTATTCCTGAACCACCGTCACCCACTCGCGCCCCCAAAATATAAAAAAAAAACACAAAGAACTTAAACATGTTTATTAAAAAATGACCTGGAATCATCATCCAACAAGAACGAACTGCCAACTGCACTATTTGAATCCTCTGTCATCATAACTCTCATACTTGAAATGACCTAAAAAGTAGGATATAAATGTTTAGATGATAGTCTGACCACATCAATAAACTGAATTCAAAACTTACCTCCGACGATACACTGTGTGTTCCATATTTGTCATCCCAGTACATCGTACTGATTCTGTATAACTGTTGTATGCTAAGCACCTGAAAACAGAATCAGATAACAGTTCAAAATGGGTATGATAACTAAATGACTCCATGTTTTTAACATAATAACAGGTCAAAGTAGTGGCCCAAACTGGACATAAATCATTGGTTATCTCCTTCAAGGTCTTCTTCGGCTTCTGATGTATAACCTGGATCAATGAATATATTGTGTGATGTTTCTCAAAAATTAAAAATTAAAAATATTGAACCTTCTTCAATAGCTGTCAACAGCTGTGTTCTTCATAAAAGACAACATACCAAGAAACCAACAGCCTGCCTAATATGCTTCAACTCATCCCAGGCAGAACCTGCATACTGTGTGCAAATGATATTTTAGTTCAATGCCTTGATAAAAGTTGACTGAGATCAAAGGATTCCACCTCTTCGGTTGCATCATAGCACCAGTGTTCTAACTCAGTCAATCCTGCTTTGAGATATTCCCCATTGCTAAATGAACAGCACTCACGCCTCAACAGAAGGCTATATAAAGAGCACAAAAAGGAAATTATTCTTTTCAATAAGAAAGTTCACATGACTACAAAAATAGTGGCATGGAATTTACATTTAAACTTGACGTACCTGTTAAACAGTTGAACATTTATAAACGAAAAGATTTGGGTGAACACCTTGCGGACTAAAAATGGAGGGACCTGAGTGGTGAAAAAAGGATAAGGACCAAAAGTTTTGCTAAACATTTATGAAATTAAATAGATTGCCACTACAAAACTTACATAATTGGCTTTCAGTATTTTCAAGTAGTCGGTTAAGCTTTTCACAATACTCTGCCAATGCGCGATTCGTGCCTGCTGGGCCATAGCATTTGCTTGAGATCGTGACCCTTTCAATAAGCTTGCACGAGATGTTCTTGGTGCCTGCATGGTTAGCAATATTAACAAAATTTCAAGCACAAATATATGAAAAGTTTCTTCATACCTGGATACACAAGGCAAGCAGTGAAGATATTTCTTTTTTTAGATTGTCTCTGATCATTCCATAAATTTTCTCGAGAAAAGCAGTAAGCTGCTGCTTGAAAAGCAGAGCAGGATATTTTGCTTCAACTTGACGCAAATCACTCAATCCACCCATCATGCGGCCATTAAAAGAAAAGAGCCCAGCACTTTGAGGAGAAGTTCGAATCCCCTTAAAATGCAGGGAAATTAATAAAAACACATTAAACAACGAAAAATTAGAAGGAAACCATAGTGAAAACACTCATCATCTTCTTCTGGGAAAAAGGTTCTGCTGCCTTACTTGAGACATCCTCCCAAACAAAGCTGATGCTCGACGCCTCTGTGAAGTCAAACTTGCGGTTCCACTTGCTTTTAGTGTCCGTTGGAGAAGTAACAATAAAGTAGATGAATTGGACAACCAGTAGGATAAGACATCAGTGTTATCCTGGGCCTTTCAGATATGCAAGTTGAAATTTTAGTTAAATAAAAAACAGGCACGGAACTATGAATAAGATCATGTAGCAGTTTCACTAATATGGGTTAGGTAAACATGAAAGATTGTTGAGGTTGCATAGAGTGGTCACAAATCTAACACAAAATTGTAAATGCATTAAATTCCTTATTCACATATGACGAAACACAATAAAGTCCCAGCAACAATTAAAAAGGTTTTTCATACCTCAATAGCTGAGCCTATTGCTTGGATTATACGGTCAAAAATACTAGTTCTTTCAACTTCGAAGGATCTCCAGTGAAGAAGGCATCTGTAGATGAGACAAGCAGCAATAGGCCTACCCTGAGAGAATCCTAGGTCCTTAGAGATGCATTCAATAAGCAAGTCCTGGTTCTCCTGGAAAACAGCATTGTGAAAAAATAGATGGATGTAATCAGCATGATCGAACAAGAAGTTGTGACAAAATTCAATATCAACAAGATGCACAAATATTAAAGCATCTTTACTGAATGGCTTCTATTTAAAAATTAACTAAAATTATACCTGCTGCTTTTCATTGAGTGACTTCTGTGGTTTATCATCATTTTGGAGCTCCTTGGAACTAGGTATACCAGGACTAAGATCCTACAGTTTTTATGTAAGGAGAATCATCCAGGTTAATTTACCTATCTTTTTCGGGAATGACATTCGATATCACAGAAGCCGAATGCTCATTAGAATTCAATTATTATGCTTACCAAAGCAAGTTTTGATTCACCATTCAGAATATTCCCATTTTCTGTGCTTCTCTGTAACAAAGGCACAATAATATGATAGCATAAGCAAGACATCCATATACACTAAACAAAACAACAGTATAAGCATTAAGGATGAAAGGCACCTGGATGATAGTTGTTTTTGGGCGTGTAGTTAATGCTCTGGTGGTTGGTGAAATGGCAACTGCCTGTTGACGTAGTACTTGATTTTCTGACTCCAAGTTTGATACTTTCTCTTCAAGCCTGTGCTCGGAAAGAAGATACAACTATTACCTCATGTTATTGAAGCAAATCTTCAGGACATATGACTGGTAACTGGTTTTAGCTTCTTATAGTATTTATAACATAAAATTTTAAAATTCTCATGCATTCCATCTACATTTATCCAAAATGATACCTAAATTGCTGGAGATAAAACCCCCCAAAAAAAAAGATCACTAAATCAGAAACCTTTGAACAGTGTCTTGAAGTTGCTCAGCTCTTGCCTCAGAATCTTCAACTTTCTTGAGTAGTTCATTATTTCTTTCCTGAGCTTCAGCCAATGATTTATTGGCTGCATCAGTTGCCTGCTTTTCTGTTTGCATTAAAGCCTGTCATGATAATAAGAGAATAAAAACAAAATTACTACATAATTCAGAGTGAACAACAAAGTAATTCATTTAGCAGGCATCTAATTTAAACACAGGTAATTTGTAGAACATAACGTACTATAATGGTAAATACAATAGAGGTTCTCATTAATCAGCATACAAATGTCTACAATTCCTGGTTTTCCTGTCTTTTCTCGCTCCTAATGCACATGGTCCTGATTCAGAACCCAGGACACCATATATAGAGAGAGATCTAATGTCTGAATGAGTTTGTTGGTCCTACCTTCAGGTTTTCAATTTCAGCAGTTAATGCATTGATCTTTTCTGTATCTTGAACCAAAACAGGGGTTTCCTTTATGACAGGAGGTGCTTCCTCGATAGCCTTGCGTGCAGCCTCACGTTCCTTGATAACCATGGACTTTGATTCTTCTACCTGCAGTTGCGTCTCATGCAACATCTCTTGTAGTTTAGCAATTTCTTGTGCCTTTGTCTCCTCCAGATCAGTCTGCATATTGGAGTCAAGCAGGTTATCTCGCAACTCATCAACAAGCACAGAATACTAAACAGAAGAATAGATAAAGTGCCAACGTATCGCATGGAGAATTATTTAGAAAGGATTATTACTCTTAGTCGTTTCTCAAGCTGCAAACGCCATGTCAAGTCCTCCACACGCTTTTCAAGCTTGTCTTTCGCTTCTTTTAGGGCTCCTGTTTCCCTAGCAGCCTGCAGAAATTTGAGTTAACAACTAGGTTATGTATAAGCTTCATTTTATTTGGAGAAATTCAGAAATCCAGAGTTAAGAAGAGACCATTCTTAGCTTTCTAAGCTCTTTTCTTGCAAGCCTTTGTCTCCAAGCACACTGATAAGTAAGCGTTGCCTTCTGCAATCTCTTGTAGTAAGAATAATCTCGGTGACAATGCCACCGAGCCTGAAGCAAAGGACAAAATATGTTTAAATCATAGTCCAAATGAACAATTGGTAGATTAAGAAATTAAAAAACATACATGCCAGCTCATTTATGAAGTGATGTATTATAGATTCTCTTTCAGAACAACATAAAACCATGTAGCTAAAGTTTTAGAAGCTGTTTCCAGCAAAGAGAGAATAAGACACCTGAATACAAATTGAAGCTTTAGTTTGCCTTTTAAATCTAAAGTCATCGCGTGCAGTCATTGCCCTTAAGCCTGTTTGCAAAATAATTGCTGATGATCGAAGTGTTGTATACAATTTCCTTGCAAAATATTGACGCAGATTCTTTTGAATTTTGACTGCTGCTGCTTCACGTCTCATATACTCATAAAGCTTACAGGCCAATCTCCCTGAATTTAACCAAATTGAGAACACAAATAAAGACTTTTTTTACTGATGCACAAGAGAAAAATCAAAATCCAAACGATTCAGACTTAATAACTAGATCACAGGACTTCCAAATGAATGATAGCACATCCAATTGAAAGAAAGAACAAGCACAACTTAGTCTTAGGGTAACCTTTCTTATGATAAGGAAAAGATGTACCAATCTTATAATATCTCAACCATACCTCTCCATAAAGACTGCAGATGAATAGCTGCTTTCCGTAGTTTAAGGAAATCTTTACGAGCAATATATGTACGGATTTGCCTCTGAATTGTTCTAGCTGCTCTTCCAAGTACCTCTGCTCGTCTAGCATCCAGTTCAGCCATCTGGCCAGCCCTCAGAAACACTTTGCTCTTGCCTAGCTGCCCATGACGGTGATACACAATGTGAGAAAAGACATGCTCAAATAAAAATTCTCAATGAATTTGAGTAGAACAAATTAAAAGATGTAGGTTGATAAGAAAAAGCATTTTCAATGGAGAAAATTTGTTATTCTCTATATTTTTAAGGAGAAAGGGACCCAAAACATCAGTAGCCTTTAGTGTATAACTAAGAGAAGATGTAATGCAGTTCTTTTTCCTCATAGATTCTGCCCATTCTTATAAATGTCTAAAGAGAATTTTCTATGTTACATTCTTTGACATACTCAGCTTACTAAGTTAATCCAAAAGCTGTCCCTGTAGAGTAGTAATTGAACATCATAAAAAAGAAAACAAAAAACATCTGGTAACAATGGTCTTACCTGGTAACCTTTCAATCCGATTTTGTCCAGAATCTTTTGGCAAGCAATCTTGTCATCACAGCTATCCAGATTTACAAAGATCAAAAGCAGGTGCGTTAAAATATTAAGCTCATATACATACAACACCACGTAATTTAGAGATAATTCAAAATTCATTTTACAGATTTACAAAGGCTTACTTTCCTTCCAAAACATCTGGGGCAAGAAGACCAAATCGAAGGAGAAATTCATAAAATGTTCTTCGAGTCGGATATCCAGCACAGCTGATCCGGATTGCTTCAAGAACACCCTAGATGTGTGAAGAAGCCAAAGCAAAATGGTAAAAGATTATGTGATGATTGAAAATAATATCAAAAAGAATTACAAGTCAATTGTAGTAAGATGGGACTTACTCCACATCGCAACTGTTGGATAACATTGAAGTTCTCAAAAATAGCAGGTTTGAGGACATTATTTGGCTTCACACATCTGATGTAATGAGGTTGAGTTGAGTTCAAGGTTTCCATCAGCGATTGGAGTTGTAGCTGAGATTTTGTAAGATCACAAGTCAAAAAGAGAAGTGTATTTGTAACTAATTAACTAAGCAAATCAACTTAAAAGTCATTGTACACATCTTTCTTGTAGACACTGAAGCACAAAATTTTAAAAAAATTGCAAGTTTATGTATGTCTACACTCATAGATGCCCTCCCATGGATAAAAGCACAAGGTTGATGATCCTATTAGAAAATCTCACCTATTACTCAATCAGTATAAAAAATTTCCATCTATAAATGCAAAAAAAAAAAATTCAATGGACACCAGAAATATTAAGTTAACCCATGTGTAGTTATGTGCCATGCAGTTTCTACTTGATGACAGTTGTTGAATCACAGGGTGACATTCACTCGTAAATATTACCTCTGCACAAGGATTCACTACTAAAGAAGAGTAAGCAGGTCATTTCACACATGAGTTTAAGAAAACAATTACTAGAAAAATAATATTATTTGTAACATACAGAAAATAATATATGAACAGAAAAAAAAATATTACTTTAAAGCGGGCTCCGATGGAAGAGAATTTGGAAGATTTTGATGTCTCTTCAGGAAGTGGTGGAAATAAACCCGAAACAAATGGGCACTTGGAAGCATTCAATAATTCTTGATGTTCTGCCACAACATAATCTTTGTTTTTGTCCAAGAAGTAGTCAGCTTGATATGTTACCTAAGTAGATAGGATAGATAATAGATATATTAATCCAATCAAAGGAAGATTCAATAAAAGTACTTCAGCATATTCAAAAAATGAATACTTACCTCTCCAGCATAATGGCCAATTGTAAAGTTTGTGCGAGAAAGTTTTGGTTTTATAAACCTCTTGTTGTTTTTGAATGTTTGATACAATTTTTGAGCAAATGTCTCGTGTGTTGACTTGGGAAACATGCTGAATCAAGCAAGAAATGTAGGATAAATCAAAAGTTACTTTAGAATAGATGCATATGGACATATAAGAATCCTAATGTTACTTGATAGAATTTCCTTCCAAGTAGAAAAATGGTTTTGTACCAAAACAAGGGAAGCAATCAACACATACCAGGCTTCATCAAGAAGCGCAATTATTCCTCCAGGTTTCTGAAATAAAATATTTGTCGTCATAATGGCAAGTAAGTTGGTAGCCAAAAGAAAATTTGTTTAAAAAAATTGAAAGCAAACTCAGGGTCATATATATTGTGCCTTCCAGCTTTACATACAGCCAATTCTATAATTCCACATATAAGAAAAGACTTATGACAAATAACATCAAGTAGTTGAGTTCAATATGCATCTGAACTGACATGCTAAAGTCTGGGCATTAAATGTTGCAAATGCACTCAGGGCCTTGTGTTACTACCTTATTACTTCATTCACATTAAACTGTACTGCACAGAAACAACATATCCACATTCGTTAAAAGATATTTGGTATATTGTCAAGTAGTTGAATTTGTTAGGCGTTCAAATTGACGTACAAAAATCAGTAGGATCACAGTTGTCAAGTAATAGAATTGGCAGATTGCACTTGCAGACTTGTATCATCCACCGACAACAGTTTTGTTGAAGCTAAAGACAAATATTGCAGGAAAGTTGGAGGATTATCCATATGATTATACCAGATAGTACAAGTTTTGTGTTCAACAAAATGGGTGCACCAATGGTTATTGTAGAACAGAGACAGAACACGATAAAGTAAGACTAATGCTCTGTCATTGGACATAGTGCACCAATATGTTAGGGCTAGCACTGTCATTTCACTAAAGAGCAGCATGATCATACTGGTATAGAAATTGAGATTTTTTATACCAGAACTGCACTGGGTTGATAAAGTGGATAATTAGTAGCTATAGTATAGAAAGAGATCTGGTAATGTTAACATCCAATCACTTCTATATGATCAAAAGAATGCCACACATTCACATTGGCATTATATCGAATGGCATATTGTTGAAAGTACATTAAGACTCTTGGATTGACTGTCATCAAAAGAGCTCAGTGGCAGGGAAAAATATCCAATAGAGCTGAAATCAAATAGTGTTGGATCAACCTCCTACTCCTCAATGGAATAAACCAGTACATGAGCAGTTAAAAAGAACATTTATCTTTTCTATGCTTTCTTGAGCAAATTATACCACCACAAAAAGGATTCACAGCTGAAAGGATGTTTTCATCCATCCATGAAATTTATGTGTATCCTACTGTTCCCCACCAAACACTATTATGATATTATCAATCTTATACAGTTTCATGGTTAACAAAGATGAAACGCTTGGGCTTAAAAACTAAATTGATTTTCTAATACAGATATGTTCTTCGAGGTTACCAAACTCATTCTTGACCCATATGTTCTCTGGACATTGTCCTATCAATTTTACCCATTAAAAAAAGTATAGTTGTTGTAAATGCATAAATAATGAATCTGATCAAGATGCTACCAAACAAAATCACCAATTTCTGCAAAAAATCACAAATCAAAATAAAATTATGACAAAAAATGATAAACCTTCTCAATCAAATCCAGAACATCTTGGTTATCAACAAATTCTATGTAGCTCCAGTTAATCTCCTCCTTGGTATACTCCTCTTGCTCCATCTTGAAGACATGCTGGACATGGCATCATGTGTTAAAATTGAACCTATAATTAATTCAATCTACAAAATTATGTAAAAAGCTTTAGGAAAACCTGATTGAAATGTTGCTGCAGCTTTTCATTTGTATAATTGATACAGAGCTGTTCAAAACTGTTTTGAGAACAAGACAAAAGATAAGAATCATCAATTATCATGTTTAACCATCCGTAATCCCTGAAAGCAAAACTGTGATTGCATTTTCCTATTGATGGATTACCTATTACATTTGAAACTTTCAAAACCATATATATCAAGAACTCCAATCAGTGACTTTGAATTTGGATCCTGCCCAATTGATACATTTATTTTGTCTACAAGCCTGTATAGAGTGTGACCAATCAAATGATTAATTGCACTATCATAAAGGACCAGTGCCAGGATTTTCACAACAAGACAGAGCTCTTACCAATCAAATAGTCGGGAATAGACGGTTTTTGCTAAACCATCCCTGCTGACAATTGCGGAAGCAGGATCAAGAGTTCTTGTAATAACTTCTTCAGGGGTCACCATGACACGTTTTATCAATGCATTCTCTAAACCCTTGACATCACACCTGACATAAACATTATTTCATGCCATGTTGGTAAAAGAATAATTTTTCACAGAACAGAAACAGATAACTTGGGCATACATCAGAAGTTCGGCTGCCATGTTAAGATGAAATCTTGACTTCTCGTCTTTGATAACAGATGAATCTATTTCTGGCCCTTTAGCAAAATCAATATTTCCAATATGAAGTATGGCAGCTACAACCTTGAATATTGCCTCCTGAATATAAACAATACAATTGAATAACAATGTTCAGAATTAAAGAACCAACTTACTTTAGAATAAACTAAAGAAGCATACCTGTTCATGCTCACTGATCCCAACTATATCCATGGCCCTTCTGGTAGATAGATATTCTTGAGCTTCATCAACCCCATCTAATTTGAAGCATTTGGATTGGTTAAGATAATGAAATGATTGCGGACTCCCCAACTTATACTTCTCGATCTCCTGCCACATAGGTAAACATTTTATAATGTCCATTCCAAGAATTAACATAACCCATTTAAAAACAATGGCAGGGCATACATACCACATGAGGTGCAGCACAGAGAAGGTAAAAACAATGATAGTTTCTCTCAGGATCATTAATTTGGCAGACACGAGATCTTTCAAGTAAGTATGTTCTAATAGCAGCACCTGATATCCTTCCGTTATTGTCAAATTGGATCTCAACAAATTTACCAAACCGACTAAATCGATATTGGATGAACAAAAACAAGAAAGACAAATTAGATATTTGAACATAGCAAATATGGTACCAAAATGATGTGAAACATATTATATACAGCTGATCAAGCATTTATCTCAATTTTCGACAGATGAACCAAAGTTACTGTTAATATGATACCAAAATAATGTGAAACATATTATTCACAGCTGATTAAACATTTGTCTCAATTTTCAACAGATGCATCAAAGTGACTGTTGATCAAACGCCACATTACTAATGCTTGACATGAAAAGAAAATACTTGTCCAAAAAGGAAAGAATACTAAAATAGTGTTACCTTGAGTTATTGTTTCGAACAGTTTTGGCATTGCCAAAAGCTTCAAGAACTGGATTGGACTGAGAGAATGATGATAGATATCAGTCCAAACTACACCTATCTATGTAGTTTGCTATGAGTAAAATAAGAAGTAAATGTTAATAATCAAACACTGAAAAACAAGTTTATCATATCTTACTTCCAACACTTGTTGTTCGACGGTCCTTCCTTCTATTCCAGATCGTCCACCCAAGTATGCCAGATATCGCATAAGCATCTTAGTTGTTTCAGTCTTACCAGCACCACTTTCTCCACTAACCAAGATGGAGTTTCTTTTCCCTTCATTAATCATAGCCCTGTTTCCATATAGAAATAAACCCATGTAAAAGAAGATACTCTCTTTATTATGTTGTGAATACAATTAATATCACCTGTAAGCAACATCTGCAACTGCAAAAACATGAGGACTTAGCTCCCCAAAAGCTGCCCCTTGATATTGCTCCATCATGTGGGTATCGTAGAGATGAGGTAATCTTTGAAATGGGTTCACGGCGATCAGGATATTTCCAGTGTATGTCTGACAAAGCCAAAGAATTACGGAGTTAGAGTGCATAGACAACTTTTATTAGTCAATAGCATTCAACATAAAAACAGTGAATATTATGAGCAGCTCACGTATATTTCATTAAGTTCATAACGTGTCGCAAGATTCTGCAATACTCCAGGTTCGTGCAAGTATGATAATTTTGTCATATCATCCACTCCAGCAGGTGGAGCTTCTGTATCCTTGGGAAACACTTTAGATATGTTTGCCACAACCTGCATGTGAAGAAAGATAATCACAATTCAGTGAATATTTAAGTGCCAATAGTAAAAGAACAACTAACTGAAGAACTACCTAGATTAGTAATACTGCCAAAACAACCAAAAGTAGAAATTTGAAATCAAGGAACTAATAAGATGTATAGGTTTGGACCCACACAAATATTATTTCCAACTTTGATAGCATGCATTGAGCTCATCTTACCATCTAAAATTATAAATCTCTAATCATACCAGTAATGTCATACCATGCTGGCATGATACTGACCTGGAGCCTCTTGTCGTGCTGACACTTACTTTTTTCATTGTGCACATAGACATATACAAATACAAGGAAGCTCTTGTAGAAGGGAAATCTTGTGCATAAAAATGCTAACAGAGAGCATTGTATAACTTCTGATTCTTTAAAAAATACAATGATAATGAGGCCAAAGTATGTTAATCACCTCATTACTTCCTCTGGCTTTACAGTGTCCAAGAAACAAACCCTAAATCAGATGACTAATTTCTAGAAACCATGGGAGTCAGTATACTGCTTGTTGATATCAGAAAAGAGTAAAATAAAATTTAATGGCATGCAAATGAGTGTTATTATTTTGTGGAAGTAGTTTATGTCCAAGTAGAGAACTCTGTCCAGGTAGAGAACTACAGATGGTTCAATATATTGGCATTCGAGTATAATTATTTTCTGGAAATATATATGCCCAAGTACAGAATTAGAGATGGTTCTTGAGCTTATTAGACTGTCTGCAAGCAAAAAGATAGAGCAGCAATGGGCAATGGGCAATGAGAATTCTTTTTTAGTACTGTGGTATAGAACGCACAGAAGCCATGGAAAAATCAAGTTCATGATTACAGCAGCACTATGTTATTTGATGAGAAGGCAATATAAAAACTCTTATCAAGGTACAAAAGTTATTGTTTTAGTAAGTAGAAATGTGTTATCTAAGAAGCACTACTAATAGGAGCTTCTTAAAAAAAATTGAAGTCCACAAATCTTTCCTAGTTGACCATTATCTGCACTATATAAAAGGATCATTTTATTTTTATGGTCGTGATTTAGCTTAAACAACAAAATACAATTAGGTAATCAGCCACAAATCAGTTAAAATCAACCAAAAACTGAATCTGGATGATGAAGGGGAGATACTAGATAGGCCAATGTATGTAAAATCCATTACCATCTTCATGTGGAGCTGGATATGTTTACATTATTGCAAGATCCTGGACTCGAAAATTTTACCTCTATTATCTAAAGAAAATTTGTTATCTGATTTCTATTTCCTACGTAGTAATTTTTTTCTCATTCCTCATTTTCATTTTTGCATTTGCTTTAAAGTTGTTAATTAAATAAACATGATTGATAGATTTGAATTGATTTCTTTTTTGTTTATTTTCATGTTTTCTTTGATTTCTATAGTTTTCACATCTATATCGACCTAAAACCCAATTCAAACACATCCATTATATATATCCAATACATATCTTTATGAATCTAAATTTATATGGTTACTAAAAGATTTTTGTGAGGTATTTGCATCTGTTGGTTAAAAATAGATAAGGATGTGGTTGTTCCAACATCAAATCCATTTTCACACCTTCCAATTCATCTCCACTCTTCTCAACTGCCACCAGCTGACAAAACTAGCTTCAGTGCATACCTACTGATCCAGGCCCATCCTGGCAAATTCAATTGATTGATCTGATTTAGTTGACTAAACAGAGTTGACATGACTATAACTCTAAATTCTACTGTTGCAACTAAATTCCTCAAACCTTGATTCAAGTTAATTACGATTCTCCCACTTTTCTATTAAACTGAAATTACTTCCTCATATGCAAGACAGGTTATCACTACCATCTTCTTTATTCTCTCCAGTTTCCCTAGAGGTTGTTGTCCATCCAACCCCTCCCTTGTTACCCAAGCAAACCAAATAACTATATCACCAATTACTAATTCACCTAGGCCAACATAGATATACACACACACACACACATGTAAACACAACAAAAAGGAAAATAATCTAATAAATAATATAACCCAGAAATGTTATAAAAAAGGATAGTTATTTACAAAGTAACAATGTAATAGAAGACATGTTTAAGTCTTGCAGCAGGACAAATTACTAGAATGTATTACTTAGGTTATAAAAATGAATAGATGGGCTAATATCATATTCTTCATTAAAAAATAAGAAATTTGAAAAGAACTGACACAAGTTAGATAGGCACTCCATAGGTGTCAAAGGCTAGTCAAAGTTTACATTGACACAAACAATGACAATATTGATGACAAGGATTTTCATGAGAATAAAATGAACCGAAAAATACTTTGCACACATACCGTTTTCCCATTTGTTGTGTGCACATGAACCTCATTACCATTAATCTTAAAAACCTCTCCATCGATCCAAGCCAGAACTGGATCTTCAACCCAGACATGAGATCCCACAATGATGTTATCTAGACTTGCCTGCATATGCATTATCGGTCAGACATATAAGTCAAAGGCATGTACAGATTCAGTATCATGTGGCATGAAAACATGAAATTCAGTAACCAGAGAACATATATCTTTTCTAATTAATCATATTGCATGATACCATATTTCTTCCAAATCTGAATAACAAATATGTAAACTATATATCAAACAAAAGAATCTGAGGTCATTAATTCTTAAAAATCTCAAGTATTTACATCTGAAATTTATAGAAAAAATGCTAGAAGTTAGTAAAGATCTTATAAAATATTTGCTTCCTTTGACTGTACTGAAAAGGCGGTCCAGGCAACCACATATAGAGCCAATGGTACTTAGCCAATAAGTGGAGGACTGTGGATGCAGCTTAACCCATTATTAGTTTACAACCTATTAAAGACAACTAGAATGCACCACCTTAGCTAGAGGCAACATGGGCAGGTCCCCGTGGTCAGGCAGAACTATTGAGTTAGTGTAGCAGAAGTTGGAAAAACAATCATCTAAAATTAGGCATGTTGGTGGGAGATTAGGTCACAAAACCACACATCAATTAGAGCATCTTGGGAGAAAAATGACAGAAAAAGACTGTTGAGAATGTCAGCAGCTAGTAGATGACAATTCCTGCAGGCAGAAAGGCCAGTGGTGGAAATCTAGAGGCAGAAGACAGCAACTCAACTAAGTTATTCTTCTCTTGCGCAGAATAGACCAACTAACTGCATATCTATCTGAATAGCTCGCAAGAAAAGAAAGCGAAGGCAAAACCTGTACAGAATATCTGCAGCTAGTGCGTGATGAATCCTATGAACAGAAAGGGCAATCATGGAGATCAAGAAGCAGAAGGCAGCAACTCAACCATTTTTTATTTTCAGTTATCTTAACTTATTACTTCCTTAACCCACCTCTTGGTTTGCATCGTACTACAAATCTTAGGATCATTCTGAATAAAATATCGTAAAAGTTCTTCACCATTCTCTTGCATTTTATACAATCTATTAAAATAACAACATGCTCCCATGTAATTTATATGCTAAAAATTTTCAAGAAGTATCTTTTGCTTTAGAATTCATTTGTTCAGTCGAGTATTTCTAGGCCCACTGTACAAATCTTTTTTTATCATCAAGTACAGAAATCAAATCACTTTAATCCCTATCCTGTTGACATCTTGAGGTAAAAATATATACAGTTAATCCTTGAATTTATCTCCTTGAATTCTGATATCCTTGAATCTATCTCCCTTTTGCGAGAGAAATTAAAAGAGAGACAGACTAATATCACTATGGCATGTTTCATAATGCACCAGTTAAGCCCATAATTTAGTGGCATAATGGATCAAATGCCACTATAAGCAAACTCACTCTCTCTTCATTTGTCACGAACCCTCAAACTTTTTGTCAGGGCATATTGAATCCGATAAAAAGTTGCAATTGATGAACGTACTTCAACACGATCCAACATACCTACCTCATATCTGAGTCTCTAAGCTGGTAAAAAAGACCTGGTGAACCTAATGACGAAGAACATTACTCTTCCCTTTATAAGCAATTCAGCAGCAATTTGTCCCAACAATCTCGATTTCCAAACCAACCTCCTCCATGCATTTCTCTAGTGGTTACCGATTGCCGCAATAGTTGTATCCTTAGCTTCGTCAGTTTTAGGCATTATTATCAGTGTATCGTGATCGATATTTTCCCAACTTAAGACCAATTCATTCGACGGGTATAACCAGCGAATTCCACATCGAGACACGTTATCTAATATGCTTATATCATCTAAGACTACAGGTGGACCAAATCATCCTCTGATGAGCCGTTACAGTGCAAGCATAAGCCCTAGAATCACGGAGGCCCGTTATTCCTGGGAGGAGTACACAAGAAACTGAACCCGAGAGAAGGTATCCTCGGTCCTAAATAAATTTGACTTATCCAGAAGAAGGAAACAAAGACATAGAAGATCAGAAAAGAAATTAGACTTCGAGAAAACATAAAGAGTGGACGGCGACTCCGTACCATGGATCATCGGCGCGGGATCGAGCGATTCAGATCGGAATCTCCTCCTCCTCGAGAGACGACCGATGAGATCGGAGGCGATGGAGGACGGGGAAGGAGGAAACCCCGATAGCACTCGGAGGATTCGGAGGCGATCGCTTTCCCTCTTGCCCCCTCACCTCTCCTTCTTCTTCTTCTTCTTCTTTATCTCGCTCGCTATGTTCGTCCGGGAGAAGCAGAGGCGTCGTGGTGTGCACACCAACAAAAACAGGTAGAGCCTACAACAAAAACTCGAGCGACGCGACCATTGCTTCCCTTGTAACAGCGAAAAGAAATAAAATAAAAGACCGCCACGGTAATTAAATTCGCTTACTCGTTTGTTGTTTTTTCTTCTTTTCCTTTTTGTTGTTGCCGTTCGTTTCCATTTCCTAAAAAACAGAAGCAAATGTCGGAAACGTGCTCGGATCAGTCGGCGCCCGGACATGCACATTACCTCGAATGACTGTTTTGCCCTTCCATGACCCACCCCTTCCTTTGCTGCCGTCTGCCGTCGTGTCTCCCGTTTCATCCCATTCAGTTGTTCTCAAGTAAATGGAAACCATTGGCGTCGCTTTTCCTACCCCGTCACTACTTGCCGCGAACGCATGTGGGCCCGTAGCTGCCTTCGTTGACAGACCGGGTAGATTCAGGAGTGTGTATATAGTTACCGAGACGATACATAACTGAACTTGTTCTTTAGGGTCACGAACACCCACCGAGTGTTCCGCTGGCTTTGCTCCACCCACCCATGCAGGTAGAATCTTTAGGCTGTGATTTTAAAAAAGAAAAAGACATATATATTTTGAGTATTTTTCAAAATTACATTTTTATTTTTTTCCCCAAATAATATTCCTAATTTAAAATACGTAAAATATATTTCATAAGTTTTTTTTTTGTCAAATTTTCTTTTATCGATTTCTAATTATTATAGTATTTATATTTGACTCATTTATATTTTTTTTAATAATATTTATAATATTTTATTAATGTACTTAAAACACTATAAATATTATTGAAGAACACCGTAAGTTACATTATGAGTCTATTTAAATTATTTATAGTGTTTTCAAACATGTTTTCTAATATTTTTTTAAAAAAATTAAAAGATAGTTTAGCTATTTTTAAATTAGGAATACTATTTAAAAAAATATAATGACAAGTACCAATTGAAATATTTTCTAAGAAAATCATCCTAAATCTACATACGAAGAAGTTGGATTTGTATGGAGGGAAGAAAGGATAAGAAAATAGCCGTTAGTGACATTTAATCTATCCTCCCCTCCCCAAGTTCCAAAATCTAAATCTACGTTAACTTAATAGCATTTTGGAGCTCCTCACACTCGATTCCTCGAGAGACTTTGAAGGAGGAAGAAGATGAAGGTTTAAGTATTCCCTTTACTTGTTTTTTGCTCATTTATTTCATATGCCTGCCGATTAACGACTATTTGTTTTTATGGATATTTAATTAGCGTAAGCCAAAAAAAAAAAACCCTTGATAAAGAGGGTCCACCACCTAGGAATGGGGAATGGATACATGACTAATTAAACAGAATTTTAATTAAAAAAATATGATTAATTGAAAATATTCTATTACGTGGTACTTTTGATCACATTTCAATGATTTCAAATTTTAGTCGTAATTATCATTTTATGTTGGTCACATAACATCATTACTATTCGAGGAATATTGAGGATGATACATCATCAATCAATCAATATTATGATTATGTGATTAATAATTTTAAAATTTTAAATTATTAAGAAAATAATCTAATTTATATTAATATTTTATAAGACCTCGTTTTATTCCAACAAAAAAAAAAGATACTAAAGAAGGTCGATCCGATCCAAAATATAGCCAAATGTTACGTATGATCATTTATTAGTGTCTTGAATTTTAACATCGGAACAAAGGATTGGTGGCACCAACGATACCGATATAAATTTAGTTGTTAAATATAGCTGTCTATTTTCTACTATTATCACATTATTTTTTGTCCTCATTTTTATCATTAATCTATAGCTAGCATCATTTTTTTTTTTTGGTTTACTTTTATTTTTTCTTTAATTTTTGTTCAATCGGGATTGTCTTAAAAAATTTTTAATATTGATGGTGATTGTTATAATCATAGAAGGTGGAAATAGGATGATTTTAATCAAAGAGGACATTTTAACAAGGTGAAAGTCTATTACATATATATTGATCTAATAATTTTGTTGACCTAATCATAGTCGGTTCTATGTTTGAGGAATTTCGACAATACCTCATTTTTTGCTATCGGGATTAGGAGCTTGAAGACTCACTTGTAACACAAACAAAGAAGAGATATCAAAGGTTGACGGGCAACCCTTCAATGTTCGAGTTGTTTTGTTGCTCTATCTTTATGAGCTCAAGATGAAACAAACAAGAGGAACTATTTATAATAAGGTAGAGAGGTAGAAAGAAAGATGTTTCTTATTATTCTTTCTTGGAGTTATTGGCTTCTTCACATGGCAAGGGTTTATCCTCTATGCCTTTTGATGAGAGGCCACTATGCCCTTTTCAATATATTTTTTTTGTCCTTTTATTTTAAGAAGGTATCCTTTATGAAAAAAATAGAAGGTTTAAATCCCTGGTCTAATAAATAGCTAGAGAAGGAGGAGATAACTTTCTTCTTTGATGCATAAGAGCTTGTTATACGAAGGCAATTGCAACCAATATGGTGAAGGAATCATGATAGATGAGGACCTTCTATAAATCACATGATATAAGTAGATGCTACATCATGGCATATATCATCGGAGTCTATGATTGTTGTAGTAGCAAAATAAACACACCATGAGAAAATAATAATTAGCATCTTCTAGCATTGAAGTTAAGTCAACACAGTTTTATCGTTGCCTTGGTGATAGAGACACGTTAGTCATGCAATATCATTAAAAACTCATGGTGCATCCCAATGTGTCACAAGGAGAGGCATGGCGATGATGTAATAATGATGCCGCTTCAAGGGAACTGAGCTGGGCACATGTGGACACCTAATTGAGGCCACACGTTCTTCCCTAATCATGTTATCAAACGACATATCCATCTTATACATGTATATGTATATGTATTTTCCTTTCGTCATCTACATTGCCGCAACCATACGAAGCGACTCGTGTGCCTCCCCACTCGATGATGGTGTGTCGTGTCTGTCTACAAACACCAGTCTAAAGAAGCGCGCCCTGGTCAACTAAAACAGATGACCAGCGCGCAGCAGCAGCTTATCTCCGTGGCACAATCCATGTCATCGACCAGGGAAGCGTGGCCAACGTCGATCGACCGTGATCTATCCACGTGGTTGACGGGACAACCGACCAGGACGTACTGGAATATCGTTTGACCACGGAAGCACGCTTCCTGCGTTGGACTTGAATTCTTGTATGTACGAGCGGTGCCGTGAGAGCAACTCGTTGGCGGGCGTTTCGTTTGTGGTAATTCCAGCAAGTCACGCCAGCGTTCCGGGATCGATATGCCGGTCGTATAAAGTAGAGGCTGGCAGAGCAGGAGGAGGACGATTACAACAGGTCACCGACGGATACAGTAACCCGACTGGAACACGGAATACGTTACGACGGAACTGCCCCTTCCTCTCCCGTCTTCCCGATTGCGCTGGGACGGATGCCGTGTTCCACAGGATGGTGGACATGAAAGAAAGATGCAGTCGTTTGGACTAGTCGCTGGAGTTGTGGTTGGACATCCTTGTCCGCTGCGAATGGACGATGGGTGGATTCAGTCAAGGCGATGGCGGATGGAGTTGCTATCGAACAACAGTGGCTACATCCTGGAACTCTACGTATTTTTCTGTCTCCAGTAAAATGATGGCGATACCAATTATACTGAGATATTTAACCTGTGCGACATAACGTCTACTTGCCGCCATCGAATCGAATGAGCTGCTTGGAATCCTACTGTTTGCACACGTATCTCGAGAGAGCTGTTTGCCTACCCTTCATGATGCATGCAGGACTGGGGGTACCACAACTTTGTCCTTCGAAACCACTGCCAAATCACAACCGCATGCGCATTGACTGGACAATAATGGGCTCGATTGGTTTCCTGTGTACCTCGCAGGAACTTGTTTCGTCCGTCGTGCAAGTCGTCGATCGGCCAAGTCTACAACTCCCTGTTCTTCTGCGTCATGGGGGCCGGAAAGATCACTTCTCAAAAGCTTTCATAGTGAAAACAAAAAGCATCGCCTTTTGGCTCCATTGGTTTGATGCCAAAGGCCTAAAGGAGGGAGGAACCGATGCCGGAATACGATTGGACTTCAATATTCTCTTGACCAGTCTGCGCCTTGACCTGTATTCCACGCAGACTGCTCGCAACCAGTGGATTGACTCACAAGTCAACCAAGTCTTTGCCCCCAAGCCAACGAAGGTCCCCAAGAAAAGGCCGACGGACTTGGCGCAAGAAGGATCGCTCGGGCTTCGCTGAATGAAGTTTCCGCCGGTCGAGGTTAAGTTTATGCTCTCACTGCTCATCATGTTTTCCTCTTCCTCTTCGATGCCGTCCAATTCTTCTGAGAACGCTCTGCCAGAAGATGGGGTGTTTGAGGTCGACGACTATCTCACCTTCGCCGATGACGGACACGAAGAGGCCTCTTTGAGCCATCCATCCGTTCACCGGTATCCTCTTGTGCAGGCCGCCGACTGCGCCGCCAACAAAACCAAGATCACAGATTGCAACAAGCAAGTGTTTAGGCCAAGTCTTTACACTAGTTGGCTTGAGACTCGATTCATGGATGTTTAACGATATTTACTTTACCATGTGTTTGGTATTTCATATGTGATCGATCATGCAGAAGCAAGGATGCCGGAAAGAGATCTTCGAAGAGGAGCAGCAGTTTTAAAGTCGCATTCAAAACAAAATCAGAGCTTGAGATATTAGATGATGGATACAAGTGGAGGAAGTATGGGAAAAAAGCAGTGAAAAGCAGCCCAAATCCCAGGTGAAACTCTTAATCTTAGGTATAATATGGCATGTCAATACACAAAAACAAGAATCATACTCTCATCAGATGCACATATCTCTAGAGGTCAAACCTCTTAAGCAAGTGCAAATCTATTCAATTTCAACTTATACGAACAGAGTTCGTTCCACATCCACAAGGATTTGAATGAAAGGACCTTTCATTTTTTATTAGATTGGTGAAGTGCTCGTCTTTCGAAGGTTGCGCGCATACATTACTTTCGAAAGAGCACTTACATGTTGATTGTGCTGCTTGGTTTGCGAAGACAAACTAATAAAGTAGATTGCAGGAACTACTATCGCTGCTCAAGCGAAGGATGCCAAGTCAAGAAGAAAGTAGAGAGACACCGAGACGACTCAAGCTTTGTGATAACCACCTATGAGGGTACCCATAACCATCATGCCCCCTACCCAGCAGTAACACAGCATCGAGCTGTCGAAACACCTAATTCCCATGACCTCTCCTGCTGAACTGCATTCAGGATGACACTCGAAGAAGTGTTAGGACAAGTCAATGCTGGCATAGGTAACTCCGGAGTTAAAGAATTGTATTTCCATTGTCAGGACCCTAAAATCTTGGTCGACTAGTGTTCTTGTAAATAAAGTTCTATATTCATCATCAGAAAGAACATATAAATGGTATGAATGGTTGGTTTTATTGGAAAATTTTATTTTAGTAAAATAAATCAAAATGAGTTTCTTATCAAAATATTAACTTGTTACCAAAACAAATATTAACAAGTGTAGTATAAATAGTAAAATAATGAATCAATCGTAAAGTGAGATATAAAATTTTTTTATGTAAATATTTAATACGAAAAAATTACGGGACCGTAGTTCATTTCAGACCTCTACTATCACCAATAATGATAATATGTTTATAATAACTCTTCTATAAATAATTAGAGGATCACAATCACAATAACATCAAGAACACATATCTTGATTCAATAGTAATATACCATTATCATAATAGATAGATTTCATCAAAGGAAAGATTTAGGTTTCATCAAGTGGGTATATCAGAAAAACATATCAGAGATAAAACTATAGATCAGCATCGTAAGAATTATAGAGCTTGTTACAAGAATTCTTTATATAAAATTTGAGTCAAAATTGATAAAGCTTTTGATCTCTAACAAAAATCTCAAAATTTTAATCTTTTATTTTTATTTTTTTTTACATCGTCATATTTTTCGTTTTTTTTTTAATAAATCAGATTTAGACTTAATGCCCAAATCATTCGGTCTAAGCCCACCTATATGGTCCGGACCCAACAGGTTATCAGCTAAAATGACAATTTCATGCCAAAAGTCTTTTCAAGAAGATAGCACTAACATGCATCTGCACCGACTGACCCTGTCTTCTTAACCGGGCATGAAATCAAGTTGGCTATGTGCAGGATGCAAATGTATATACCAACCCCGTCTATTGAACTCTGACGTCCTTCAGATCGACTATATGCTATGTCCAATCGAATCCTTAGTTTCAAGTTACGATAAGGATGTGTGGTCATGGTTGTAGAGGAGCCTTTTCTGCCAATAGGAGAACAGTGAGGTATACCCCAAACCTCCAAGAAACCAATCCTTCAATGCCGATGTGGAAATGATGTAAGATTTGCCTAAATAGTCATTAGATTTGCTGATTCTGTTCCTCCAAAAATGCACGATGTCAAATCTATCAAACTAATAACCAGTCTAATCTCCTGCAGATAAACTCATAGCATCTCAGATACTTGAGTAAGCTCATGGTTCTTTAACTAGAAACCATGTCCTGTGTGCCATTGCTTTGCAAGCAACAGATTTAACTTACAGATGTATGTGGAAATAACAATTCATCGAAGTCTTTCGTGAGATGATTAGATGGGACAATGAGATTCTCCTAGAACCTAATAGCTTACTCTTAACTCGCGGGTCAAAGTACAATAAAAAAGAAGCAGACTGGAGATGGAATTATCTCTTTATGCATATTTCACTGTGGCAATACAAGTCAAAGAAATAACTTCCGAGGCTACTTACTGGCAGCCTGGCGAGCTTCATATGTTTCAGATTCAACTTCTGAGAGAAATTGAGAAGCTTGTACTGGTAAAGGGGGCTCCAAAACTGAGTCTTCCATTCAAGTGACGAAGGTTCAAAACACTGCTAAGTGGCCCAAACAGCAGCGGTATAAAGTGCTACCTTCATAACTTTGCCGGCCTTGGAAAATGTTATGATCTCGGGTCAGAAAGATTGCTTGCATTTGATGCACCGAGGCTTGCTTGGAAACAGAAAAAGGTAAAAATTGCTCCATCGTCTGGTTAGCACAAGCGCAAATTGGAGGATAGATACGGAGTAGGTTGAAGAAGAGGAGTGGGGTTACTGCTTGTGATCCGCGATCGGGTCGCCCATCGTCTCAGCACCGACAAAACTCACAACGGGAAGGCCGAAGAAATCGTGGAATGCTTTCATTCCGGGATTAGTATTCGACCCGGTAGCATATTGTTGGATGTTGATAAATAATTGAATCCGAATCCGACGCAACTCAAACCTCCAAAAAGATTCGGGTCCGTGAAAATGTTTGCGCCGTGAAGATTCGTGTTGGTCAGTGCCACAACATTGAGATTTTTTTTATTTCTATTTGTTTTTTTAAGAAAGATGAATTTTCAGAAAAATAAACTCCTAAGTTTCAAACGTCCTTGCTAGTCCGAGGATAAGTGAGGACCACTCCTTCATTAGTTCAACGGGGTACAATGAGGGTCATTAAACCTCCGTCGTTAGATGGGTTTGATGGAGGGGGGTGATCGATGCGATCAAGAGTTGACAGAGGATGATGGTCGATAGGGCCAGGATGGCCATGAAAAAAAAAATGCTCTATGAAAAAAAATAAAAAAATAATATATATATATATATATATTCTCACATCACGTGTTTTTAATAAAATAAATCTGATTATATCTCTTAGTCATCATGTGAGTCTTATAGTTGTTTTCTTTCTTGATCTTAAATATGCATTTACACCAAACTAGCTGGCTATGGGGTGGAGGCTTCATCAATTCTCAAAGTACAATTCTTTGATAGTGAATAAAATGATCATTGCTTGATGTCAATTTTTTTAGTTTGGACTATTAAGAATATTCTTGTATGAAATTGACTCTGATGTACTATGAAACTCTTTAGCGACAGTGAGTGTGTAGTTGATGACATTTGTGTACTTTGGATTGGGATGTGATACATAACGTGATCGGTTGAGGGTAAAACTGTAGGGGCACTACTCTTAGATTTGTTGTGATTCATTTTTTTTTTCATCTTTAGGAGATATATGAATAATGACAAGTTCTTGTTCAGTTAATTTTGCATCTTTCGTAGCCTCCTCCTTATCCTTTTACAATAGCACCTATTCATCAAAAATAATATCCCTTTATCTTAGTTTTGAGATTATTTGGATACAAAATTTTAAAGTCTTTTGCTCATATGGATAACCTAGAAAAATATAATATTTTAATAAAAAAATATATGTTAGGTTAAGGATGATAAACTAGAATATATGTCAAAATGCTATATTTTCCTAGATTATCCCTTGGAGTTAAAAGAGTATAAAGTTTGGTACTAGAATTTTATAACTGAGATACATAAGGCTATTATTTTTAATGAAGAATTATTATTGTAGAAAGATAAGGAGAATGTTGCAAAAGATATACAACTGACTGAACAAGGAGTTTTGATTCTAAAATATTCATGGTACCTGAAGAACCTGTCATTACTCCTACATCTCCAAAATATGAAAATGAGGAGGAACCATAACCCACCGAGGAGCCCCTTGTAGTTTTGCCCTTAGCTGGTCATGTCATAGACTATATTCGAACCCAAAGAATATGAATATCATCACTTATGCAATCACTATTATCGTAGAGTTATAGAGTGTAAAAGAGCCAACTTCATACAATGAGACTTAGTCCAAACTCGAAGAATCAACATCATAATAATTTCATTCACTATTGAATAATGAGAATTAGTGAAGCCTTCACCCAATAAAAAGTTAGTTAGGCTAAGTGATTTTTTTAAATCTAGAGGGTAGCTATAAGGCTCACTTGGTGGGTGAAGGATATAACATCTTGATTATTAGCATTTGTCAAGTTGTTAAACATACTTCTCTTCAAGAATTATTAGCCTTAGTAGCTACATTCAGTTAGAGTAACTAGATATGAAAACATTTTTTTTATAAAGACTTAGAAGAAATATCTACATGGAGCAACTAAGGTTTATGAAAAACGAAAAGAAGAACCATGTTTTTTTTACTAAATTAATCCCTCTACAGCCACAAATAGTCTCCAAGATAATGGTTTAAAAAATTTGATCAATTTATACCTAATTTAGGATATATTAGATAGCTTTATGATAGTTGCATATATTTAAAGAAAATTAAGTAATTCATGATATATTTATTATTATCATTGATGATATGTTTGTTACTACAATAGAGAAGTCTGAAATAGACATGCTTAAATAACTACTTAAGGAGGAGTTTGAAACGAAGGACTTGTGGCGAAAAAATGATTTCTTAGAGATGTATCATGATAATTTTATTAAGAAGTTATACTTATTTGAAGAGATGTACATAAAAAAAATGATAGAATTATTCGACATGTAATCTTTGATCACACATTTTCGATCGTTAGAGTCATTATGCTTCTAAGATAAGAAAAAAGCAGAATAAATAAATAAAAAAAGTTCCTTATTCAAATGTACGTCATGGTCTGTATGTACTCAGATCTTGCTTATACTACTAGTATACTGAGTCAATACATAGCAAATCTGAGAAAAGCTCACTAAAAAGCTATTAAATAGAGTACTTGTGAGTAACTCAAAAGGCTTGTTTACTATTTGGGGGAACTAATTGATGAAAATAATAGAAAATAAGAATAATTATTGAAGAAGTTTTAGCTTGAAAACATGTCCCTCTCCTATTTATATAGATTAGGAGGAATGATTTCTCTCAACAAAATATAGAATTTTTCTCAATAGAATAGAGAGATTTTGCTTATGTCAAGATACTAATCTTGGATCGATGTAAAGAATGGTTTACGAGCGAGAAGCTTCATGAGTAGAGCAAGAGCAAATCGCTACTGCTGCTGCGATTGCCGAAACTTCGCTTTTCTCATTACTCTGATACCATGATGAAAATAATAGAAAAGAATAATTATTGAAGAAGCTTTATTGAAGAAGTTTTAGCTTGAATACATTAACATGTCTATCTCCTATTTATTTATATAGATTAGGAGGAAGGATTTTCCTCAACAAAATAGAGTCCTCGTATAATTGAAGAAATCTTATCATCTATCTATCTATGTATGTATTATAGATTTTTAAAAATTTAATTATGAGATTCATTATTATCGTAATATTGTAATGACTCGAAAAGCCAAGCTCCAATCTACTATTATGTTTTCAACCACTGAGGTGAAATATATGACATAACTAAGTAATAAAGAAAATAATTTGACTGACAATACATGCATTTTGTTATAATGTCTATATTAGATATATTTAAAAATACTTGTATTATATTATAATTGTCCATATTAGATGGATTTGAGAATACATGCATTTTTATTATAATTGTCTTATATTAGACATCAGGCAAAGGCAACGACATATAGAACCTGTTGCCTCACTTGGGGTAGGTATCGTCGTCTTAACTTGTTCATCCCAAAACACAAACATGTAATCGTGTAATTCCCATTAACATTTTAGCTCCGGATATTAAACGATAGAAGAAAATTCAATTCAATACATCCGAGAGTGGAGTGCCTTTTTGCACCAGAGAGAGAGAGAGAGAGAGAGAGAGAGAGACGCAAGAGCAGCTCGTTTCTACAGATGACACACGAGAGGCCACCATGCATGGTGTGGTTTCCAGAAGTCATCTCTCTCTCTCTCTCTCTCTGCTCCAACAAGCAAGCAGCCGTGGGAAGTCGCATCTCACCTTGCTTATGCGGACACACACCCCACAAAGGCTCCCGTGGTAGTGGTACTGTCATTCTCGTGCCTCCTCAACAGATTTATTACTGTACTCTCCAACCTAGTCTTATGCCCATACGAACGAATACAGAAAAATAAACATCCAAAAGGACAAAATGGGGGTGTTTATTGCTCCATGTATATATCGATCATGGAATCAAGAGATCCTCTGAGGGTGATGAATAACACAACTATGTGGTCCTTCCTTTCTCCTCTTCTCCGAGGAGCATCATCTTTCTCTTTAACCTTGTTTGTTTGTTCATCTTTGCTGCAACAGTCACAGTACAAATTCAGTGGTCGACTATTCTGGGGCCCTTGTACTCAGCACCGCGTACCACCAGCTCATCAGGCTCGCTTCCCCTCTCTTCCAGCCATGCATAGTACTCCTCCCTCTCCCCACACCGCGTTAGCCCATCGCCTGAAACAAGCAACCATGCATACATACCGCACAAAACACTTTCTTCGTGGAAACGAAAAACCAAACACGCATCGCCTATCCGATCCGACGACTACGTACATTGCACCGCGCAGCACTTGGATCATCGTAAGTAACATAGGGAGAACGGTGAACGGCATACATACCCGGAAGATTGGAGCACGCATTCCCCCGGTAGTAAGTGCAAGCCCTCCCTTCTTCGTCGTCGTATGGTGGTCCGAGAACATCCAACACTGCGCAGGAAGTCACTGCAGTAAAGCAATGCAAGTTACCCGCAGCGGCAGGGTACAAAACAGACGTCTCGCAGGGAGCAACAGAGATGGCATCGGTGTGCAACTTTGCCAAACTCGCGCCTGCGGATTTATAAACATTAACCATCACTCGTCAATACTAGCAGTAGTACATCAAGTCTTGAGAGGATCATCGATCAAACGCTTCCTTAGTATTTCATACAAACTCCACCAATCCGACAGAGCATGGAGCGGCACACACCGGTTGAGGATTTGATTCTCTGGTCGGAGCCAAGCGGATCATTAACCCAATCGTATGACTTGACGTGCATGGAGCCCATGAGAAGTTTGCTAAAAACAGTCATTGCCGGGTGATCATGCAGTGGAATTACAGCTCCTTGCGGGAGGCAGAAGATACCAATCTGCAAAAATGCAACGAGAGACTTCAAATCAAATGCATCTGGCAGCAGAATCCACAGAGTGCAGCGGGATACCGAGAACTTGGGGCACTCGTATAGGTGCAAATATGTCACTGGAGGAGGTCCACCCGTCCCGACATCTCGAAAAAATGACAGGTTTGGACTTAGACCGACATCTGCTGGCATTACGGCATCTGCGTGGGACGACCACCACATTAGAGATCGAGAATCAATATGTGACAAAAAGTAAATTTCCTATATTCAACTAATTGCTACCCAAATCTTCCGTTTCCTATTATATCTCATTCATGAAGATTCCATAGGATTTAGGAGATAAGAGAACCAAAGAAGATCCTGGGCAGCGATATCATGACTGCGCCGGGAGCTAGCAATCAAAGCGCGCATAGAGGTGTGGTAAGGTTCCCTGCAATATCCCCACCTGATCATGTTTACTTGTTCACAGTAAAACATAAACCCGTTGACAAAGAAAAGTCATGATCTAGCCATTGAAATCCTTTTTCAGAAAAGAAAACCCATTCACAAGTTTACAGAAATACACTTGATGGTAAGCAACTATATGATGGCAGAGAAGATTCAGTTCAATCTTGCGATGTAATATCAATTGATATCATGAAAAGAACAGTGTCCTAAGAAAGATTGGCGACCTCACTTACAAACTACACAACAGTCTCGGAAGAGCAGTGGGCATCAACTAATATCTTCTCTTTTCGATCCAACCGAAGTCGCCGCTTTAAGCTGTCAACGGTTCTTTCATGCCTAAGATTTAGCGGAAGCGAATTCGCTAATCCGATCTGTTTTACTTAACATCGATGTGCAACTGCTGCAAAGCAATCTGTTCCAATCCATTCTACAGAATAGGCAAAAGAAAGAAGGAAAGATCCGGCCGTAGCGTATAGTAGTACCGAGAACGGATCGAAGGCGCTCCACCTCATCCGGCGATGGGACGATGCCAGGCGCACCATCGGCAAACACCTCCTTGCATGCCTCAAACACCCTCTGCACGGCGGTCGGCATGGCCGCCGACTTCTTCTGCCGCCTCTTATTCTTCTTGGAGTTGGAGGAAGACGTGCTTTTCCCCGTCGCTACTTGGTCGCTTCCCTTCCGGTCGGCCAAGCTGCCGTTGACCCTCATCCAAAAACAGAAAAGCCTGAGACAAGAAAACCCGACCCAGGAGATCCCGGTGCCGATCAATCGAAGTCGGGAGTTCGAGCGACTCAAGAAATGCCGGACTCCCAAGACTCGGACAACGGGAAAAAGATTGGGTTTTGGCAGGACGAAAAGAAGAGGAAGGCAGTTGTCGTCGCAAGGTGGGCAAGTAGGAGAAGAGGGATGGGATGATGGATCTGTACACCCGAGTTCTAGTTACTCATGAGCGAGCAAAGTCTATGTACTTTGCTTTTTTCAAAGGAGGAGAAACGAACGGTCTCCTATGCCTCTTTTTGGGAAGGGGAAGGGTGGGGATATCCTCCTCCTCCACGAGAGCGAGGGAGTCCGGGACGGGGATGATTCCGGTTGGAGGAAGGTGACGGAGATGGCGGTGGGGCTATAAATAGGGACGGGAGGCCATTTAGGTGGGGATGCTGGAGGAGGAGGAAAGGAAGATGCTACTCGGGTCGACCGAACCACCCTGCAAAAGTTTCACGGTTTACGTGAGACTCTCGTAGTCCGTAATCTGATTACTGTGGGACCCGCACCTAGGCGTCTATGAGAAACCACGTCACCCGAGAAACTCTCCACCGTGACTAAGTCAGCCAGCCGAAGAAGCGGTTGCCCAAGGGGAAACCAGGGGCGACGGCAAAGCATTCCGGTGGGCTGCTCGATACTGCCTGTCATCGTCTTTATCTTCTCTCCCTCTTTGTTTTATGTGTAATGTATAGGGAGAGACTGGGCCGATGTGTTTGTGTGCGCTACTTCTCCGGTATGGGGTGGACCAAAGAAGAAGACCACCCAACCTGTCTCAAAGTTTTACAAGTGGAGGACTTCGATTCAGGGATGCTTATTTATCCGACGGTCGCGCGTTTGTAGCCGATCGATCTCTTTCTTTCGTCAAACCAAAAAAAAAAGAAAAAAAGAAAAAGGAAGAAGAAGAATAGGCAAGAACAGATGGAAGGAAGAAAAATAGGTGGGAAGGTGGAGTATAGATCGCGGTAACGTAGGCCGCTCGCTCACCAAAGATTGGATGCAGCCGAAGTCATGTGCCGGAAAACATACCTTTACCCTTCTATTTACTCGTTTCTTCAAGACACGATAAAGCAAGCACGAGTTTGGGTGGCTCAGCTCAGTCTTCGTACTCATCATATCGACTCTTTTCTTTGTCCATGACAAACGCTCACGCGTGCTTTGCACCTCTTAAATAGTTGCCAATGACATAAGATTGGTTTGGCACAGCTTTCTATCGGGAGGTGTCGAGGACATAAAGATCATAAGATTATGTTTCACTTAACCTTCGGATGCAATTGCGATTCTCGACAAAAGGTCGTATTTTCATGACTTACTAATGAAATGCATCGCGCGGCCCCAATCTCCCTTCAAATGTCACATGTCGAGCTAAACCATGTCCGAAGTCCTTCTTAAATTATTTTCCTTCACGTTTGTCATCGGCATTATGGAGGACTTATGCTTAGGGAAGAATCGAACGCCACCAGCCGCCTCGGAGTGAATCCATCATTTCATTTATTGGACTTCGACGAATTCTTTTTCCTTAGGGATTTTTATTTGTGAATAACTTGATGGTATGCTTCTTATCTACATACAAAGATAGATCGATCCCGTTCGCTCAGTCAATACTCCCTTTTGTACTTCGATTCCCCCCCACTTTCAGATATCGTGTTGGACGATGACCTCCTGGATGCCCCTTTATCTGCATTTCCCAGCATTTCTACTTCCTCACCAAGAATACATCCTTCGACAACTCATCTGCAAGCCAAGGTATGTATCATGAACAACAACTACTATACTTTGACCGACCTACCACCTCTTTGTGCAAGCCTTACATGTCTTGGGCATACTCTTTTTAGGAGGGAAGATATATTGCTGCCAACAGCATTCATTCTTGATTTCCGCTTTCTACAAGTTTCTTTCTTTTGAGTAGGTGACTACCTGATCTCCCCTGTTACCACCTACTCTCTTGGTTCGATTGCTTCCCCTGCCCTGCTGCCCTTCCGTAAGTTATATTTTTCATATTTCTGTTGATATCCATATAAACATATGTCTATAACACAACTTAAACACCAACATGTTAATTCTCTGGTCGGGTTTCAGCCAAAAAAAAAAAAAACAAAAGAAGCTTTTTTCCGCTCCAAGGAATGATAGTTTTCTTATCAGAAAATGCTTTTCTGCAATACAATAGGAATTCTTGGTCCAGAAATTTGATCCTCGATTAATGTGTAGTTTTTCTGGGGTATATGGTAATTTGCCCATTAGTTTGCTGAGATAATTAAGGAGCTTTGGAACGTCTGGCTCGTTTTATTCAATGTCTTTAACCTGTATCAAGTTATCTATACCTTTTTCTTCACCCGGTTGAATTTGATAACTTGTAACTCTTATTGGTGGAAGTTGCGGGAGTCTCTAGATGTTCTTCACGTGCAAGCTAGATGTAATGTTTCACAAAGCTTCATTTCAAGTCCGATCTTTAAATAATTGTGTCACCATCTAGTATAGAATTCAATTTCTTTTTCCTTGGAGTGAAGCCTAATTTTGTTTAAGCTACTATCAACATTGTGTGCATTGTGCTAAAATTTGTGTCGCAGAATTTATTACATATGGTCAAGAAAATGTTGTATTCTCCATTCTGGTTGGCTTATAATCGATAAATTATGCACCGAGTTAGATATAGAATATATATTCTGTCTGAAATTCAAGTTTGACTAATTCATCACCTGGGATAATGGGTGATAAACCATGGGGCAAATGCTTTGTTGTGTGCAAGTAGAACAATCCACTGTTGCAATCAGGGAGCATTCTATGATGCTGTCCTTCAGCCAGGATGCAATTGTGTGCTTTGGTTTATCGGATAACTGAATAGATGGTCATCTTTCACTGCGATTGCAGTAGCTGAATGTTAAGTGTGAAACAACACCAAAGGCTCTTCTCTGACCATGATTATGCTAAAAGTCTGGCCATGATAAAGAATTCATCTTCTTCATTTTTCAAAAATTGTATTGGATCGCTTTCAAACAGCAGTCTTTAAGTTATTTACTTGTTTCAGGCCTCTTTGTCTATAGTTCCATGCTTCTTTTGCTTCATGGCTTTGTGTTGGTTAACAATATTATATAAGTTTACCAGTGTTTCCTGTCACAGCTTCACGTAACACAGCTATGAAGGAAGCTCCAATTCATGAAAAACCAAAGCACCTTGGTTGGTTCTTCACAGTAGCTATAAGTATCACATGTGTCCAAGTTATGATTGACACCTTTAGTTGTTTTATATGTGCTGCCTTCAGACAGTAATTTTTAGGGTGTCTTCCTATTATATCCACATGTCTAGTCTATTTTCTCTTATAGATCAGTTTACAAATATTTCCAACTTCTATTATAAACTGACTCATCCTGGAATATGCACTAGCAGGAACCTTATGCACTAGATCGCCTACTCAATTCATTGATGAGTAACACGTGTATATCACGTTTGTGGTCTAGTTCTCCGGTTAAATTATTAAATTGTCCAACATGTTCACTCTAACCATTCAAATACGCCTCATCATTGCAGGATAATTTTTTTGCAAATGTTGTTGCATCACGACAATACCGTGCTCTGGCTTCCAAGGCTAGTGATGCTTTTTACAAATTGACTGATACAAAATCTCATATTATGGCTTATGTATTTGATGGTATGAATTCAACACCTTTTGTAATCATGTGATACATAGTGCACACAAGCAACTGAAACAATTGCAGTTGACTGTATTTTTTTGGTTTATTTTGGTGTGTTTCTCATATTGTTTATGCATAGGTACATCCTCTTCGCATCAACTTTCTGAAAGTGGCTAGGGTCAGTGGATCAAATGTCAATCTTATATTTTTGTTAAAGATAAATTTAGTTATAGGAGGCTAAGGTTTGGCAAACTTGACAGATCTTCTTTGATGTTTATAGCTTCTTGTTGATGGTATACATCTGTGACAAAATATTAAGAAAAACTGTTTGGAGGATAATCAGATAATCAAGCAATAACTATCTGTTGATTAGTCGATAAAGCTGCAGAGTTACCATTAAGTATAGTTTGCAAAGTATATATCCTTTAGGACTTGTTTTCTTGTGTGAATATTTGCATTAGATATTTTGAGTAACTATTTTGTGTTCTGTTGCTGTATTCACTGATAGAAGTGCAATAGGAGGGTAACTAATTCTTACATTTCCCTAATAAGATATGGGGACATCTTGTTTTAATTTCAAGACAAGGATGTAATGTGTGAACAGAAACAGAGACACAGTATGAATAGAAAGAGATATGGTTGAGATGAGCCTTAGTGGAGATTAACATGCATTAGATAGAGTTATCTGTAAATCTTCAACAGCATTTGTGTGCTGGAACCTTGTTGGTGGATTTGATAAAACTACTAATTTTACCATCTTGCTCTGTAATATTGTCGATAAGTTCTTATATTGTTAGTCCGAGACATTCAACATATTTCTCTTACCCTTTGCCCTATTTCTTTCAAACACACGTATAGGGAGATTAACATGCCGGGTAATTGGTTGGCTACTTTTTCTAGCACTTTCAAGTCCACTTTTTTGTGGAAATAAAATTTTCATCCTGGTCTTTCTATACTTGTATCCTTTGATGAAAAAGGATATCTTTTGTACTCGAACTTTGAGTTAATAAAGTTTCTTCTTTACGGCAAAAAGAAAGAGAAGTTTTCATATGTATGACATAGTGCAACTGAGTAATTCTTGAGCTACCGACCTGCCTGGTGCATTCCAATTTTACTGGTACATAAACATCATATTTCTTTGGCTGAGTGATGTAGAACTCAAGTCTGCTTTTATGTTTTAATCAGAGCTATTGTGCCAAAGGTCAATATGGATATGTGATGCTTTCGAGCAGAAGAATGATATTGCAAAAGCTGTTGTAGAGGAGCTCGAAAATGTTATGTCGGCTTATGGCTATGAAATTGTGCAGACAACAAGTGTTGACATTGAGCTTTGGCCATGTCAACAATTAATGCAGGTACATCTTCTGTAAGTCTCTGAGAGTTGTTAGCATCAACACATCAACCAAGTCTTTGTCTCCGTTCATGAATATGCATGCTATTTTTGTTGTAACTTGTGAACTGCAATGAGCTTCAATATCTTTATACAATCAATTGCTCTGAAATCCAAACAAAATGGGTTCCCACTATAAGATTATCTTCGCTCGATTTGGATGATCTCTCGAACATGAATATGAAGAAATGAAGCAGTAATTTATAGAACCCTATACTGATGATACAATACTCTTACAGCAACTTGGGTACCTGTTAAACTCTTTGTTAAATCTTTATAAATGGACCAACACTAGTCAATTCTGACCATTGCATTGACAAAAGGCTGACCACACTGATCATACGCCACAATGGCGCACTGGTGAAACGTCCCTCTTACATGATTGATTATTGATTTTGTCACTATACTTTTTTGAGTGACAAAAGATATTGACATGTGCACTTTGTTTTTATTTTGACCTTTCCAATAGTCAATGTTAGCAGCATCAGAAGCACATTTCTAATCAGTCACACCATCTTGTCAAATTTATGGATATTCCATCATGCCTAATGCATAAGCTCCATATTTTGGAAGTCTATTGTTTAAGATCCATATACAAGGTCCTGAAATTTGTATGCTAGTCTTCTATTTTCTGGTTGCTAATTGTTAATATCAAATACTATCTCGAAGGTGTCAGCCTTATAGATCAATAGTTATAATTTCTTGTTAGTACTTCTAACAGTTTACCATTAAAGCTTGTAACAGTTAGTGTTTTCATTGTTCTGCTACAATTCTTTCCAACTGTTTTGCTAATTAAGAAGGATCAAGAACACAGCGCCTGCCCAAAGAGGGTCTGGTTAGCGATCAATAACTGGTCAACAATTTAGTTTTCGAATTTGTTTTGAATTTTTAAAATTTATTCTTCAGACTTCTCACTTGCTTCATAGTTAACAATACAAAACACACCAGAAGTCAGCCTAGCTGTAATTTTCCTTTGCAAGTTATGTTCTAAGTGCAAAAATTAAGGAAATAAATAAATACACATGACAAAACCAGATTAACACATTTTGTCTGACAACAGGGTATGTTAGATATGCATTATATTATTTAAGGAACATGAAAATCAAGCTTGATGTTACCTGTGTAGTTTTATAGAAACTTCTGTGACTAAGCATGGATATAGGCCTCCCAGGAGTTTATGAATATACGAAACTAACTAAATCAGAATAAAAAAATATTTGTCACACTAATATTTTTTTCAAAATTATGGTGTACATCGTCCCTCATCATTAATTACATCTCACACTGCATGGTTTCCTAGACAACTATATTTTCACTTCTTGTGGTTGAAATATGCTAATCAAGAGGGAATATTACCTGGATATTCTCTTAAGAGTTTGAATGTTTCTGTTGAAAGTGTATTGACAAAATCTCAAAATAGCCTCCTTTTCGCACAAGACTACATTGCCTCACCTTTTCTCTTCCAACTTTCACCTTCAGTTTCCTTTTTTCTTAATTAATATAACCTATCCTCTTTCTCCTCTTCTATGTTAGTAACTCATATTCAGTAGTACGGTGCGCCCTCCTATTAACAGTCAGCCATGGATGAATGTAGCAAACTGTTTTTATTAGGTAAATAACTAATTACAGGGGATTTTTTTTTTTATTTTCCATTTCGAGGGTATTTTTGTTCACTGACAACTCATGTTATATTACCTTTAGGGGTTACAAAAGCATCTGGATTCTAAAAGCAAGGTGCAACAAAACCCTACAAGAATTGCCTGATACCGGGGGTGATTATCTATGAGGGTGTACACTATAATTTCATTGAAATTTAGGGTCCAAATGTAAATTATCTATTAAGTTTACACAATTTTCTGACCACGAATTGTAGCCAGCATCATGGGGATGTGACATTAAAGTTATGGCAACTACTCAAGGAATTGCTCTAATAAAAAACATAGGTGTTGACAGTGTTCATTTTTTAGACATCAATATTAACATTTAGTTTTTGCCAAGGCCTTAGCCTAGTGGCTGTTTTCTTCTTCATAGTGGAGAAGTGCCCGAGTATTTTGCCTAAGTAATTCTTTAAACAGAGGATTACCCCCTCTGTTATCCTCGGAAAAGAGTGAGTAATTAATTTTTAGTTCACAGTTTCCTTTGTTAATTGTATTGTGTGTCAAGCTCCTCCTATTTAACATTCTGAGTACAGAAACCTAAATGATTCCATTTGTTATCTGCAGAAAGCTGCTAACGATAGAGGGTATAATTAAGGAGAAGGAGAACCTGTATTGGCTGTGAATTCTCCACTGATTTCTGAACCAGCACCAGTGAGTGGACTTAATCTCAACTTTGGACAAGGAGGAACCATCAAAATTAGGTGCTATTGCACTGGTCACTTCACACGTAAGTCAAGCAGTCATAGAATCCACCTCATCAAAAGAAACTAACAATGGTATAGAAGAGCAGGCTGCTACAAAGGCACAGGCAGCCTTCCATGGTTATCTGGTAACTTTTTTTGTTGTAACTATTTTATCTTAATCAAAATGCAAGAAGTGTATACTTTCTATTGGATGAATGACCTGTGACTCGTTCAATAAAAGATGCTTGACACTACCAATGAACGTTAGCTGGCATATTCATAATGCTCTTACATCCCTTAATTCAGATTTTGCTGCAAATGAATTGCCTACTTTATGACTTGATAATTGTTGCATATATTTGGTGCAGGCATGCAGGGCCTTTCGTGCCCTGAAAGGTATTATCAGGTTGCAGGCGCTAATTCATGGGCATCTGGTTAGAAGACAAGCTGTTGCAACTCTACATGCTATGGAGGGAATTGTCAAGTTACAAGCAGTAGCCCAGGGAAGAAGTGTTAGATGTACCTTTACTGGACTTAAAGTTGCTAAGAGTTCAGTCAAGCGAAGACTGTGGTAAATGTCATATCCATTGATATTCCTTTCTGTAAACATATCTCGGCTTTTTATTTAGTCATGTTGATATCTCTTTAAAGCTAAATATTCTTGTTTATCTTGGTCTATTTGGATAGAAAATGTACTTTTTTCTCTTTAGTGTGTCAAACCATAATTAGGTGCTGAATTTACAATTCTCAAAATGCTGGTTAGGAAGGTAGAGATTCTGATGCACTGTCATTTTTTTATAGGACTAACTTAAATTGTGTCTGAAAGTCTTCCCTGATTGTTTCTTCTGTTTGCATATCATGTTTGGAAGTACAAGAATGTTTCATAATTAGGAATCAATGTTAAACGTAAATCATAGGCCCAAGAGAATGCTATAGGCCTGTTCAAAAGTTTAATCTTTAATCTGTAATGCAATGTTTTAAATTTCACGTCAGGATCTGCCATCAGGTCTTGGTTAGAGATCAGATTCTAAGTTGAATGTACCCTAGATCTATGATAATTTTTAAAAATTCTTATTCTTAAAACAAATTCCTGTATTCCATAATGGACTAATTTTGTGCTGATAGAACCATTGCTCGAATGACCAAAAATATTATATATTGAAACTCTTTGATAAGTGAAAATATAATCACTTATACGGTTGATATGTCCTTTCTTGTCCAAATTTTGGGTTATTATTATCCAAAGTTTGATAGTTCCATCATAAATTCAAAGTACAACATCTGAAATGATTAGGTCAAAGAATGCAATTTTTAAATGATTGCTTGTGGTTTAATTGTGTGCTTAGATAGTATATGTTATATAGGTTATTTTTAGTTCATCTATTGGGCTATCATTCATATAAGACCCATGTCATAACAAGGTTTATATCAAGGTTTGCCATCTCCTGTCGATTTGTCACGGACAAACTTCGAAACAGGGTGTTTGATGTAATGCTTATGTATGTCCGTGTCTTTTGGCATATTCATGCCTTGTACAGTATGTAAGGGGGCGGCCGAAGGCTTCAAAGTCCCATTTGAGTTAGGTTGGTGGCCTCTTTAGGCTTGTAAATAAAGGTTGTGTCATGTGGACACGTGCGAGAGCTTTTCGGTCTGTAATGGACCATTTTACCCTTTGTTGTGCAACTGTTCAGAGCTTGTAAAGTCTGTTTGTAATTTGCATTGTCTATGAAGTGTTTTTCGGAGATGTTTGCTTGTGGATCCCGATTGAGGCGTTCTCTTTAACCCGTTCTCTCTTTTGGTGGTCCTAAGGGACAATGGGAGGCTTCGGGGAAGCTGACCTTTGCGGACGGACGCGCGAGGGTGCCGCACGACTTAGGCAAAACCAGCTAAGTCCGTGACAAATGGTATCAGAGCGGGACAAGCACTCATAGAAACACTTAGCATGCAAATGTGGGGGACCTAGCGGGGCTGCGTTGAGGGCAGTCAGCACACGCGCGACCGTTTGAGGGAAAACGGGCATGGAGATGTAGGGAAAAGAGTCGCTCAGAGGAGCGGGCATCTGGCATTGGCATTCCGAGGAATGGCCAACCCTTCGCGCAAGAGGCACCACGAGAACAGGCAAGCTCGGAAGAATTCGGAGCGCACAAAGGTTGGGATGGCTGAGTTTGAGCTACGGCTCAACGTTGACAACTATACTTGATGGTGCTCAAGGTAAGCGAGGCGCTTGGCAAAGGATGAGACCATGCAAAGTGGAATGAGTTGCTCAACGACCGAAAGAGTTGTGCAAAGCTCACAGAGGTGAGGGGAATTGCTAACTCGAAGAATTCGGTACTCATGCATGGGCTTGTATGCGAACGATGGAATGTTCGTGGCCATCCCAAGGCGGCCGAGACTCGGCGCCATGGAGCATTAAAACTTTCTCTTCGGCATGCGAAGGATACGTCCGTGGGAGGCTGAAGGGTGTAGCGAGTTCAGCATGTTGCTAGGCCTTGAGTGGTGCAGCGGGGGCTGTATTGACGTGGAGTCGCAATCTAGCAAGTGCGTTTGCAGGAGGCAGAACAGTGCACAGTTTGTTCAGTAGATCGGAGTAGTCCAAGGGGATGGTGGTCTCCAAAAACGAAGAGAGATGTTGCTCCAACGAGACAAGTATCCAGGAGGGATAAGTCTCGGCTCTCTAGAGGGAGAATCATGTTAGACGGACTTCACATGTGGAGGAGGAGTACCTCAACAAACAACAACTCCACGAAGCTCGACGGACTGAGCAAGCGGCGAGGAGTTGTCGCATGATCTCGCTCGAGAGAATGCATTGGTGGATGCATTACGAGATCAAGTGGGGGAGCGACCTAAAGCAACTCAAACGAAGGCACACTTGGAGTCGATATGGAGATCGGACTCAAGGGAGGGCTGACCCGTGGAATGGTGGGCGCGAGGGCCACCATCGACTCAATGCAAAAGCGAGCAGCGGAGCAACTTGGGTGTAACTTGGCGAAGTACCCAAGCCGCATGAAGGGAGCCAGCATAGAAGTTGGAACATGGAGCGGAGGCACAGTGCTTTCCTTAGACAGAGGTCAAGGACATGAACTCTTGCAGAGGCAAGAGTAGGATCATGTTGTTCCATGGGTCTTTCATTCTGTCGGAGTGGACTCATCTTGCATGGTGCCAAAGATGAAGGGAGCTTCGGGGCACATGCACCTTATCTCGGAGGAGCATTTGATGGAGGAACTAAGGCGACTCAATTTGCAGAGGCGAAGTTGGGTTCAGAAGGCCTTAGCACGGGGCAAGAGGACGCAGAGGCGGGTACTCTTGAAGAATATGCCACAGTGTTGCCATTCAAGTTGCTTGAAGGGAGCGGTGCGCAGCGGAGATTGTGCTGGTAGGGGCAGAGGCCCAGGATCCAGACAATGGTGCACAAATTGCAGCGAAGTCGGGGGACTTCGGAAGCTACTAGGCGACAGACTGTCCTAGAGCGGTGCTTCATCTACGTGTGACCCAAGAGTGGGTGGATGAAGGTCGATTGTCAAAGGAGCGAACAAAATCGAAGGTGGAAGAGACCCTGCGATGTATTGGCAGAGGCCACACATGGAGGGTTCACAGTTCGAGTTCATCCCACAAGGATCAGAATGTAATGGAGATTTCACCAGGAGGCGACATGGTGCAGCGGATCGTGGTGGAACAGTTCGTGGCAATGCGACACACACGACAGCAAACCCGTGAGGGACTAGATCATATGGAGGTATGATCGGGAGCTACTGGAAGCTCCACTTCGGTGAACAACACGACGGCAAGAAGGGCTATGGATTCAAGGAGTGAAGGCCATGGTACCGCAGAGGCGGGTCTTCCGTGCGTGCATCGAATTTTGCATCGGATGAAAACCTTGGTCATCAGCATATGGGGGCTGCGTTCCACCAAGGGAAAAGTTCGAATGCAAGTATCAGTGAGTCCCATGGGAGGGACTTGATCATGCAGAGGTATGATCGAAGCAGCTGGAGAGTTGGACTGCTCCAGAGCTTATATTCGCTTAAGGGAGCCCGGCAAGTCAGAGGACAAGGTCGAGTAAGCGAACGTTGCTACCAAGGAAGCTAAGGAGAACAGAATCGGTGCAAACCCTATAATGCGATGGCAGAGGCCATGCATGGGAGTTGCAGTCTGTCTTTCCATCGACTAGAGGAAGCTGCTTGGAGAACACAGAGGTGTTGAAGCAGGGGGTCGAAA